ACACTCTGTCATCTGAAAAATGAAAGCTGAGGTAACATTAACTTTATTATGTTGATTAGAGCTTTAATTAGGAGTCATCTTTTTACTTTACAAAAAGAGGGGGGGGTGTGAGCACTGATTCTTATTCAATAACTAGAGGCCCGGGGCACGAAATTTGTGCACTTGGGGTGGGGAGGCTCCCTAGGCCTGGCCTGTGCCCTCTCACAGTCCAGGAGCCCTGAGTGAACCTAAACCAGCAGCCGGACGTCCTCAGCACTGCTGCGGAGGTAGGGGAGGCTCCCGCCACCATCCCTACACCTGCCAGCCCCGAGCTGGGCTTCCGGCTGAGCGACACTCCCCCTGTAGGAGCACACTGACCACCAGAGGGCAGCTCATGTGCTGAGCGTCTGCCCCCCTGGTGGTCAGTGCACATCACAGCAACCCATCGTTCTGCCATTCAGTCAATTTGCATATTAGCCTTTTATTATATAGGATTATATAGGATAGGCCTTGCGTGACAGACACAAAATTTAAAACTAAGCATCCTGGGAGCCTTGAAAAGTCCTCCTGCACCCTCAGCCTAAGGATGGGGAGCACTGTAGAGAATGAGAAGTGTCAGGGAGTCCAGAGGAGGCAGATGTGGTGGAGAAAACAGACCCAAGAGGGACCTACGGGGTCCAGATAACAGGATCAATTAATAGAACTGAAGTGGCCTGGTGAGAACAGGGGTCTCCGTGAACCTCTTGATCAATAAGGTGCTAAAACTATATGCTTTTGGTCACAATAAAAGGCAAACTTGCCGAAACCGGTTTGGCTCAATGGATAGAGCGTCGGCTTGGGGACTGAAGGGTCCCGGGTTTGATTCCGGTCGAGGGCATGTACCTTGGTTGCGGGCATATCCCCAGTAGGGGGTGTGCAAGAGGCAGCTGATCGATGACTTTCTCTCATCGATGTTTCTAACTCTCTATCTCTCTCCCTTCCTCTCTGTACAAAATCAGTAAAATATATTTTTTTTTAAAAAAAGGCAAACTTACTATAACTAATTAGCATACTTTTTTTCTTTCTTTTTTTTAACTCACAACAGGCCAAAGGCCTTCAGAGTTACAAGACACTCAGAATACTCAAAGGCATACTCTTAGTCCTGCAGGTACTGTCCCTTCTCCCAGAGAGCAAGGGGAAAGTGACGGTCCCCTCACAGGAAGCATGACGTAAGGACATTCTAAAGGGTTTGCTTCCAGCCCATCAAGGGCAGAAGGCCAGTTAATCAGGGTGTTCTGACGACACCTGCAATAGACCAACGCTTGCGGCTGTAAGTTGGAGGCACAAACCATGCTGGACACCGACGAGTCGAATGGAGCCAATAACACAGGGCGCCTCTCAGTAAGGAGACGGTTATTCACGCAGCACCCACTCATGCACTCCTGAACTCTACTGCCCATTTCTGTTTTCTTTCATTGCAAAAGTCCTGGGAAGAACTCCCTGGCTTCACCTCCCATTCTCTCTCCAATGGAAAAACCACTTCTCCTTGTCACGTACCCCTCCACCAGCCCCACCCTGGGCCACACCCCCGTGGCCTCGCCCTTCCCTCTGCAAAACCTGTCCCCTGCGGTCTCCCAGGCTTTGTCTTCTTTCCATCCCTGGGGGCTCCTTCCCAAGCCCCTCTTCACTCCAGCTCCCATCCAAAGCCACGACAGGGGGAAGCCCGGGCTGGCCCCTGTCCTCGCTCCTTCTGCACCCAGCACCTACCTCATTAACTCTTAAGCCCATGGCCCCAGTCCCGCCATGCCTGGTTCCTGGCACCACCCAACACTTCGTTAATATCTCTGCGAAAGTGTGTTTACAAAATGCTATTCCCTGCACGTAAGCTGACAGCTTGGACTGGCATCCTGGGTTCAAACAGCTGCAAGGAATGTAACTTCCAGCACAAGTATTGCCTTCTTAAAATAACAGCATATGTCACCCTTCTAGCCACGTCCCTGGGCTCAAAGCACCGCGGTGTGATGCCCACCGCCATCTACCATGAAACACCAACCAGCTCTTTACTCCAGGACGCTCACAGCACTTCTCTGTGACCTCCTGTCTCCATCACTGCACACGGAGAACCCAATGCCACATACTCCTGCTCCGGACGACTCTACTGATCACACTCCAAATACGCATGGAAAGCTAATGAGTCCGGATGTTGTGTGGCCAGGAGGGGGTGCTGATTTCTTCTGGATCGTGTTACCCTGGCAATCACGGAGACCCCACTGGTCACAACGGGAAGCACGGCGGAGGCTTCTGTGGACAGCCGCTAACAAAGCCGTGTTCAGTGAGGCAGGCAGGCTTTCCCACAGTCAGTGCACAGATCACGGGCAAATGTTCACCTCTGCCCCGTCGTCACGTGTGCCAATGTGAGCACAGGAAATCTGGTTCCACAGACAAGAAACGGAAATGGAAGAGCTTGATGATGGCAATGGCCCACCGCCACTCACCAGTGACGACCATAAATGCCAACAGTCCCCCTTCCTCCGTGGTCTTACCCCACAGTGTGCTCACTCCCCGGACACCCACACATCTGTTTCCACACCCCAGGACCCCGGCTCACACCAAGACTGGGGAGGGGGTCGCCGTGTCCTAGGCAGGAAGAGGGACTCTTCCTCAGGAAGGTGAGGCACCTCAGTAATAACAGCATATGTGACCTCCTGTCACCCCCACACATTCCCAAACCAAGCCAACAGCAGACCTGCCTCGCTCTGGAAATACACATGGTCCTCACCCCTCATTCCTCGGTTCTAGTGGAATCCTGTGGGGCCTGGGTTCCCCCCTGTCAGCCACGGGGTCATCTCTGAGAAGACACGGACTCTGTCCCTCCCCTCCCCCAAGTCCCAGTGGCAGCCACGTGGCACTCAGGATGATCCCTGGTGGACAGCTGTGCTGCCGCCCTGTGCCTTCTCCCCCGTGTGGCCACACGGGTCTTCCTCGTCCTCGGGCACACAAAGCTGTTCCCACCGCAGGGCCTTTGCACTTGCCATTCATCTGCCTGTGACCCCCCCACCCCAGATCTCCATGGAGCCCCTCAAAGCACTGGTCTCCAGCTCAGACCTTCCTCGTCCCGGCTGCTGGAGTACACCCACCCCTACCTACATCACCGCCTCCACCTGCTGGCCTTCCTTCCTGCTCCATGCTCTGTCCACTATCAACCTGACACAGTCGTATTGTTTATTGCCAGACCTTCCTCCCGCCAGACCAGTAGGTCACCGAGCAGAACCTCTCTCTTGCTCTCTGCAGTGCCAGAATGTAAGGGGCGCCCACTGAATAAATACCTGCTGAATGAATGGGCAAACGCATGGCAGGCACTCTCATGAGCCATGAGGTAAGCTGGGCAGGGATCACCTACACTCTGCACATGTGAAGAGGAAGCTGAGGGAGCATTTAAGTGTCTGCTCACAATCTCAACCCCGCAAGCCACAGGTCCGAGAGGTGCCTTCAATCTGCAAAATGGCAGCATTCTCCTGACCTCTACAGAGGAGGGGCACCTGAGTGTGCCCTGAGGAGTGGGCTTCTTTCTCAAACACAACTTCTCCGAGAAGAGTTGCTGACCCCTATGGCGGCTCATTTTCAATTTGTCTTTTGAAAACGCTGTCCCTTTTACTTCCAGAATCAGACATCTCGTTGCATTCCTTGTTGGCAGCGTTTCTGCAGAAGCATGAACCAAAGCTATCAAGGGGTGACGGATACATGTTACTGCCTTTTCCCCTCAAAAGCCAAACAACAGTTCTCCTATTTCTTAACCGTTCACCAGAGGCGGTGATGTCAAGGAACGCAGACCAGCCGCGCGGAGCTGTGAAAATGTGGAGATGGGGACGTGTCCAGCCGTGAGCAGAGCGCGGTGTGGTGTGTGCGGGTGGGGTGGGGGTGGTTTCCTTATGAAAACCCAGTGTTTACATGCTCTCCAGGCAGAGTTCTCCTCCCTGCCTTTTCAGGTGTAGCTCAAAACCAGCTGTCCATTCTCTTTTCATCCTTAAAGACACCCCCAGGGACTACGCTCCAAACGCATCAGGTGAGCCGGGATTTTGGGAGAGAGGCTTGGGCAGATGTGGCTTTTGCAGGCTGGCCTCTGTTCTTACACACCGGGGCCCACCTGTCTCTGGTTCCTGCCACTTTGATCTGCCCTTGCAGGGGTGAGGGGAGAGAACAGGCAATCTCTGAGCATCTGTGGGAGAAGCTCATCCATCCATTCGGAGCTTAATAACGGTGAGTGCACAATCCCTGAACCGTCGGGCGGGTCCGTGTGTCCATGAGCTCTCAAGTCCAAAGCGGACCCCCATCAGCAGCTGCAGGCCTGGCGGCTCCACCTGCCTGCGCCCGGCTGCCCTCCCCGCCAGGCCGGCCACCCACCCGGAGGCCGGCACCTGTCAATGTCCCCGGATCTGGCTGCCGTCCCGCCGCCACCCACGGGGTTAGACACAGGATGCAGGGGTCCCTCAAAGGGGGGGGGGGGGGGGGGGGAACGCAGAGCTGTCCGGTCGCCCCGGCTCCTGCTTCTCTAGCCGCGCGGGGCGAAGGGCCGGGGCCCCTCCCGTGCGCCCGGGGGCCGTGCCCCGCGTGGAGAGGGTGACCTCACGAGGGGGCAGCCGGCGAGCGGGCCGGGGGCGGGGAGGCGGGCCGGGGGCGGAGGAGCCCCCGCGCCGCGCCCGGGGCAGAGCGGGCCCGCGGGCCGCGCCGGCAGGGGCGGGGGCGGCGGGCGCGGGGCGGCGGGCCCGGAGCGCCGGCGGCGGGCCGCACGCAGGGCGATCCCGGAGCGGCTCCGGGAAGTCCAGCCGGGTTTTGGCTCCGATCGCCCGCGGAGCCCGCAGCCGGCGAATGTAACAAAGAACAGGCGGCATGGCGGCTGGACCGGGGCGGCGGGGCGGCGGCGGCGGCGGGCGGGGCCGGGGCGGCGGCGGGCGGGCGGGCGCGCGGGGGCGGCGGGCGCGGGCCGGGCGGGGGCGGCGCGCGCGGGGGCGGCCGGCGGGCGCGGGGCCCCGGGCTTTACCTGCCTTTGGAATGTGCCGAGCGGGATCGGATCCGGACTCCGGGTTGCGATCCGCTCCGGAAACTGCGCAGCACCGGAAGCCGGTGGTCGACCGCGGGGTGTTCTGGGAGTTGTAGTTCGGCGGCGGGGCGGGAGGGCGCGGGCGGCGTGGGCTTGGGACTGGGCTGCCTGGATGGGGCGGCGTGGACGGAGCGGCGGGCCGGGTGGACCGGAGCGGGCGGCGTAACCCGGGATCGGCGGCGTGGACCGAGGGGGAAGCTGCCCGGACGGGGCGGCTTGGACCGGGAGCGGGCGGCGTGGACGGAGCGGCGGGCGGTGTTCACGGGGAGCGGGCGGTGTGGACCGGGATCGGGGGCGTGAACCCGGGGGCGAGCTGCCTGGACTGGGCGGCGTGGACTGGGAGCGGGCGGCATGGGACCGAGCGGCGGGCGGTGTGGACCGGGAGCAGGCAGCACGGACTGGGGAGAGGGAGACGGGGTGAACTGGCTACGTGGATCCGGATCGCCCGGGCAGAGAGGCCGGGCTCCGATCCCCCTTTCCCTGGAGCAGCAGGAGGTCTGGTGGCCACGTGCTACCCCTTCCCGCGTGGCGTGGCTCGGCCCCGCAGCCGCAACCCAGGGGGCGCACGGACGGAGCGCACAGCCCTGTTCTCCTGGTGGCTCCGTGAAGCCTTGATTCCTTTGGAGAGCTAGGGGGGACAAGGGGGCGAATTTTTATTTTTAAATCGGGCTTGAGGTTTGCTGCCCCATAATCATTTCTGAATTTAGCCGAGGGCTGATGATTCTTGGCATCTTTCTAGTCGGTCAGAAAACTTAAGCGCTTGCCCTGCTCCCAACAGGCACGGAACCAAGAGGCCCAGCATCTGGCTGGCCAGCCGCTGGGGATGGACTGGGATGCCCCCAGCAGAAACCGTGGCTGGTGCCGCCTGGAGGCAAGCCGAGGCTGGACCACCTCCTGGCACCCAGTGTTGCTGCCGCCTTCCTTCTACCGGCTTGGCAGCTTGTGTGGCCTCCACCCCCTCCATCAATTGCAGTGTGGAAACAGAATATTAGAAATAAAAGGGAGTAAAGGGTCTTGTTCTATCCTTTCTGAGTCAGAGATGTAAGCTGCCTCGCTCCTGTCTGCCTGGCCAAAACCCCCATTCATAATGTCAAAAAGAGGTGATGAACTGGGGGGAATTATTTGAAATTGATATCAGCAAGGACTCATTTCCCTCATACATGTAACGTCCTTATGAATCAATAAATCAGTAAGTAATCGGATAGGGGGGGAAAAAAAAAAAAAGGTCTGTGAACAGTTCACGAGGAAAATACAAAACTCCTGGCCAGGGTGGCTCAGTGGCCTATGAACCAGGAGATCATGGTTGGAATCTCTGTCAGGAAATGTGCTGGGGTTCCAGGACATGTGCTGGGGTTGCAGGCGGATCCCCTGGAGGGGGCGTGCCCGAGGCAGCCAATCAATGATTCCCTTTCATCGATGTTTCTATGTCTCTTCCTCTCTCTTCCTCTCTGAAATCAATAAAAACATATTTTTTAAAAACACAATGGCTCTGAAGATTATGCGAAGCTACCCACCTACTGTAATAAGAGGAAAAGTGAATTGCAGTGAGCTCATTTTTATCTGTTATATTAGATTGTACAAGTATATTTCCATTATTGTGAAGAGACGATTGAAAATGAGCTAGCTCTTCCTTTCCCGGTGGGAGAGTGAGCTGGTACAGAGGGGACTGGCCGGCAGCCAGGTGCATTTGTCTGAGGTTAGTCCCAAGAACCCAGGTGGGAGGATGGCCCTTGGAGAGGAAGGTGTGGGGGTCACGGTGCCAGGGGCTCATTTCTCCGCCCTCCCCGGCACCCTGCAGTGACTCCTCATTGGCATGAACTGGCCTGGACCACAGCCTTCAGACCGTTGGCCGCCTAACCTGTTCCTCACCTCTGCCCTGCTCACACTCGCCCAGCCTGCTTTCCCCTCAGACATGCTCCTAGGGTCTTTTGTGGCCACTCCCTCCCGCTTGGAACACTCCCGAGTTTCCCACCATCATCCCTTCATGCTCCAGGCCTTTGCCCAAAAGCTCCCCAACCTCTGCAGGCACAAAGCACTACTGCTCCTATGCACCCCCACACTTACACACCCCTCTTCTGTGATGGCCCTCGCAGCTCCCAAATGTCCAGATGGCTGTTCTCAGCCTCTGCATACTAAATAGGCACCAGGATGCATAAACAAAAAACAGGCCATTTACAGAAAATTGACAGGTCACAGCACGAGCGGAAAACGAAATAGAGGAGCTCAACCCGCATCAAGCCCTTGTCAGCACTACCCCGACACAGGGCCGGGGTTCAGTCACAGCATCTTTCCTCTTCAGAAGGATTCTGTGTGTTCGTGTTCTCCAACTATCAAGGCCTGAAACAGTGTCTTTTAAAATTATATATATGTTACTGATTACCGAGAGGAAGGGAGAGGGGGAGAGAGTCAGAAACATCAATCAGCTGCCTCCTGCACACCCCCCACTGGGGATGTGCCCGCAACCAAGGTACATGCCCTTGACCGAAATCGAACCCGGGACCTTTCAGTCCACAGGCCGATGCTCTATCCACTGAACCAAACCGGTTAGGGCGGAAACAGTGACTTTTTACATTCAAAGTTTTTGAGTTAAAACTTTTGTTGCTTAAAGAGTCCAATCTTTGTTGATCCCAACGAATGCAATGAACGCACACTCTGAAGGCAGAAAACAAGAAGAGGCGCCTGTAAGGGTGTTGTTGGGGAAATTCGAATGCGGACCTGGTACTGGCTCACAGCATCGCATCAGTGAACAAACTTCCAGCAGGAACCCTGTGGTGGATGTCTGACGAGGGGATGTCCTGTTCGAAGGTGCATTCTGAAGAACTGTGGCGGGAAGAGGATTATCTTAAAATGGAACAATTGGTGAATCTAGGGAAAGAGTACGCAGGTTATCCTATAGTTTGACATTTTTTAAAATATATATATTTTATTGATTTTTTTTACAGAGAGGAAGAGAGGGATAGAGAGCTAGAAACATCGATGAGAGAGAGACATCGATCAGCTGCCTCTTGCACACCCCCTATTGGGGATGTGCCTGCAACCAAGGTACATGCCCTTGACCGGAATCGAACTGGGACCTTTCAGTCCGCAGGCCGACGCTCTATCCACTGAGCCAAACTGGTTTCAGCTAGTTTGACATTTTTAAAAGTAAATTGGGGGGGGGGGGGTGTTTAAGTAAACATAAACAAGTTTCTGTTATCATCAGTGGGTTTTCCTAAGAACACTGTGTTCTTCCCCAACAGCTGGCATTAAACTGCAGCCACCCTACCGTGTGGCCCCAGCCCTGACGCTGGCCGCCTTAGACCTGTACTTTCCCATCAGCTCTGGTTCTTTGCTAATTTAGGTGTAAAACTGTCACTACCGGACAGTGTGGACATCCGTATCCTAAGCACCTTTTTTCTAAATCCTCACCTGAGGCTATTTTCCCATTGGTTTTCCGAGAGAGGGGAGACAGGGAGAAATATCATTGTGAGGAACTCATCAACTGGTTGCCTCCTGCACTCGCCCACACCAGGGCCCAGTACAGGGAGGAGCCTGCAATCAAGGTACGTGCCCTTGACCCCGGGGGATTGAACCTGGGGAATTGGACCGGGGACCCTTTTGGCCTTCAGGCTGATGTTCTATCCACCGAGTAAAATCAGCTCGGGCTATCCTAAGCCACTTTTTGAGAAAAAATATTTTTAATTGATTTCTGAGAGGAAGAGAGAGGGAGAGAGATAGAAACATCAATGGTGAGAGAGAACCATTGTTCAGCTGCCTCCTGCACACCCCCCACTGGGGATCGAACCCTCAACCCAGGCATGTGGCCTGACCAGGAATCAAAGGGGGACCTCCTGGTTTGTCAACGCTCAGCCATTGAGCCAGGGCCCTGGGCCCTCAGCCACTTTTCTATGCCCTCTTTAGCATTTGTTTTCAATCTGGCTAATTTTCCCCATCAGGGTGAAGAGATAAAGCCATCAGCAGACAATTCAAATCCTACTACATGCAAAGCATTGCATCTCACTTCACATTACTCTCACCCACTGCGAGGAGCTCTGCACTTCAAGTTCAGGAAAGACCGTCTGAGGCCGCAATCCTGTTCTCTCCAGCACCAGGCAGGAGGGACTCATGGTTTGGAACAGGGATTCTACAGCCAGACGGCCCGGGCTCAAGTTCTGGTCCGGCCACTTCCCTGCTGTGTGACCTTGGGCAAGAGACTTAACCCGTTGGTGCCTCGGTTCTCCAACCTGTAAAGCCAGGCTAGGTCATCACTCACGGGGTCACCTCAAAGAATCAAGGAGTCATTATACGTCAAACCCTTGGAAAACAGTGCTGGCACACAGTCCATGCTCAGTTCGTATTAGCTAGCACCACTGTGACCTCAAACCTTTCTCCAGCTTTTGTATAAAATATCAAGTGTATACCTTACATTTAAGCCGCCTAAGCATCGGCCGTTGCCTTATCAATATTGATGACACCTACATAATCGTTTTGAGTGTCTGGGACCCACAACTTGGCCATTTGCACTTTGGACGGTCAGGGTGCAGAGCCGAGGGGAGCGGGGCCAGCTTCAGGCCATCCGGTAAGAGGGCTGGCCGGCACTTTCTCATCAGGGAGGGCACTGCGCCTGTCCTCCGTCTGCATCCAGCCCCCTGGTGAGCGATCCACCTTTTCTTTTAAACAAATGACTTATTGACACACACAGCACCCTGTGCGTGTACCGTGACCGAGGTCCACAGCAGCATGTTTTTGTTACGTGTGCGTCCCCCTGCGTGGGGCTCCGTCCCCTGACCTGGCCCCACGCGTGGGGAAGGGTGGGTGTAAGCTGTGCGCTTACGTGGTGCACATCGCCGGGGAGCGAGCACAGGGGAGGGCGGTCCGGGGCGGACAGAGCACCCAGGTCGCACTGGGTGGTTGAGGCCGCTCTGTGCAGAGGGCAGGGAGGGCTGGAGTTTGTGAGAAACATCAGGAAGCGGGGGGGGGGGGGGGGGGGTGCCGGAGACCACAGCTGGGGTAGACGGGACGCTGTAGACGGCATTAGCGAGGACGTGGTGTCCCCCCGGAGGTGCCGGGAGGTCAGGGGAGGACGCTGGTGGACAGGAGGACATGCCAACTCGTCTCCTCTGGGAGCCTCAGCCTGGCCCGCCACCCAGGAAGCAGCGGTGTCCCCCCACCCCCAGCCCCGAACCTCAGTCCCAAACAAGACACAGGGCCGTCGCCTCCCTGTGCGAGCCCTGTGCCTTGAGTCCAAAATCCGAGCCCCCCAGCAGCTGGGACTCCCCATAGGCATGCTCTTACCCCAACGCAAAGCTGTGGGTCTGCCCGGGGCGGGTGGGGTCAGGAAGGCTGAGAGGACGGGGTGGGCGAGGGGCCGGAGGAGTCCCCAGCGTTTGGACACGGCAGGGGGTGCGGCTGAAGGACAGAGGAATTGAGGACCTGGACGGGGAGCAGCCTGCAGGGGCTACGGGGGCACCCCTGTCGGCGTCTGCAATGCCCTCCACCCCCCAGCTGCTCTGCCCTGCCCGGGAACTGCCCTCCCCCTCCACCTCTTACCCCGACACGCACTCTCACCCATGGTCCAGGGCTACACGGGAGTCAATGCATGGATGACAGCTCCCATTCCTAGGGGACGGCTCCCCTCAGGTCTCGGGCGATCGCCTGGGTCCCACAGCCACCCTGGGCCAGGTTTCGCTGCTGGGGGGCCAGGCCACGGGGCACCCACAATTCACCGTGGCCCGAGAGCTCACGGCGAGCATTTCCTTCCCAGTGAGCGGCTCAGCCCAGACCCACAAGGTGTGGAGGGACTTAAAACCTGTGCAAGAATGCTGGGAGGAAGGTCCTCCGCGGAGCCCAGGGAGGAGGAATCCCCCCTTCTGCACCCTCCCCTCCCCCCCGCCAGCTGACCGTCTGGTCGCGTGTGGTCACTGATGGGGCCTGGGTCATGAGCCACTCAGAGGAACGCGGGAGCACGGGCCTCAGCAGAAACCACTCGGACCCGTGTTCCAGGCGCACGTTTATTTCTTTAACGGCACTCGTGTCCCAGCCACAGCTTCTCCCAAGGATTCCACTGCCGGGGCTGGCCCGGGCTCTGAAGTGCCCCCAGGAATACAGTCACCGTCATGGAAATGCGTCCTCGAGATCCCCAGCCAGCCCTGTCCGCCTGCTGGAAACCTTTGGCTTCTGTTTAAATGTAGCTGCAGGTGACATCGGGCACAGAGAAGGACACGCTGCCATCATACATGACACTTTCCCCGAGGGGGGAGCTGGGGGCTGGGAAAGGAGGGGTGCTCAGGGAAGGAACCCAGGGCCTGAGACTGCAGGGCGGGTCTCAGCGGGGCGGGGCCCATGCCACTGGCTTTGGTGATCTCGGGCGCCTGGGCGGCGTGGGCAGTGGCATCGGTCCTGCTTGCCACCTGGCAGAGGTAAGCGTCTTGACCCCCGATGTCCCCCCACCCTCACCGCCCAGCTTGTCCTGTGAGGTCCCCAGGGCCGAGAGGTGATCACTCAGGGAGCAGTGCATGGGGGTGGGGGGGGCGGAGGGGAGAGCAGTGCAGACTCTCCTCCCTCTCCTGCTCGGGAAGATTGGTGACTCTGCCACCCACGTGGCCGGAAGCCCTGATCACAGGCCCGGGCAGCTTCTAACTGGGGACTGGCTCAGGAGCCGGGGCCTGGCTTTGAACTTCAGCTCGAGCTGCTCTGCCTACGCCTTCCTCACCGCTGGTTTGAACAGGACACTTGCGTAAACGCCCCATTCAAGCTGCTCCAGCGCCATCTCCCTCCTCCCCAGAGGCCACAGCGCAGGGAGCGGGGTCCGTGTGTTAGAACTAAGGTGACCAGATGTCCCACCGGAAGCGGGACGTCTGGTCGCCTTAGTTAAAAGCAGCGTGCGCCCCTGGCCCAGGCGGACCCATCAGTAGCTCGCGAGGAGCGGCTTTTACGAGGCCACTCTGGGAAAATGTCACCGAGACCAAAACCAGGGCACGGCCCTCAGGCCAGAAAGCGTGCGGGAAGGGTGAGGGGGCAGGTGACTCATGAACCAGTGTGCTCTGTGTCCGGTGTGTAACCACATCTCACCTCAATGACAGCGCCTTTAGCATCAATGCCCGACACCTTTCAAAAACAAACCCGGACGGACGCACCACAGTACAGACGCGGCCCGGCCCTCGGGGCTCCCGTCACCTTCCCCTCCTCTTCCCGCTCCGTCTGCGTCCTCGGACCCCAGGGATGGCCAGGGTGGCCCCCCGTGCAGGCGCCTGGAGGACGGGCCCCTGGACTCAGCTCCGGTGGACAGGGTCTCCCGTGGACCCAACAGTCACGGAGAAACACGGGTCTCCACGGCGACGCCCCCTCTGTCCGTGTCCACGCCCCGGCTTCACGCACGAGGGCGAGGCAGAGCAGGCTCCTTCCCAGGAGCCGCAGAGTTCTGAGTCAGGAGGGAGGGAGGGCGCGGAGCCCGTGGGGAAGGTATAAAAAGCAGACAGGGCGCTCCAGGGCCCATCCGGGTCCACGGCTCACAGGGTGTGGTTTGGTGGTGGTTTATTTGAGAGCGAGAAACACTCAGCCTGACACTCTGATAGCTTCCCACCGGCGCCCACTGAGTCCGCCCGGATTTCAAACTTACACAAGCACGGAGCTGGATGGACTAAGACCCTCGGCCCGGCGCCCTACATTCTGACGCTCCGGCCCCTATCGTTAACCCGCGCCTGTGACATGCCCGCCGCCACGAGGAGCCACAGAGATCCTTCCCGCAAAGCACAGCGTGGGAGCGACCGGTGGTGACCGCTGGCCTGCGGGGACGCACGTGGCATTGGCACAGTTTGCAGTGCCAGGCGCCGTTTTACAGTGATTAGAACGGGAATAGAATCTTTACAAAGTCCGTTAAAAAAAAAAAAAGTCACTTGCCAGTCCCTGGATTCCTGGGCTGGCGAAGAATCTGCGAATGCGCGTTTTGTAAAGTGACGTTCTCAGCGCCTTCTCCTGATCCCTCCCTCCACACGGAGGGAGGGCAGGGTGCTAGGATTTGGGTTTTAGCTCCGCAAGAGCTCTGACCCCTGAAGCGGATGTTTGAGGGCGGGCAGAGGTGTGCGGCCGAAGGCCCCAATGCACATCCGTGACCAAAGCTGAGTTTTCGCAGCGGCCTCTGACACCTCGTGGGGGGGGGGGGGGATGACTCTGACTGAGCCACCAGCACCGTTCACGCCAGCAGCAGCTCCTGGGAACAAGCCCACGGCCCCCACGTGGCCCTCCCGGGAGCGGGGCGGCGTGTCCTGTCCGCGGTGACAGGACGCACGTGGCTGCTGGCGCAGGAAGTGCTTTGAAAGACACGGAGGGCATTACCGTTGTATAGCGAGCTTATCGTGTGTTCCCCTGGAAACAGAAACACAAACACACCCCCCACCCCCACCCCGCCCGGGTCTGCCAAGGCTGTTCACAGTAGAAGCCAGATGCGCTCCCGAGAGGCATCTGACGCAAGCCTGGCCCGTTTTTTTTTTTGTTTGTTTGTTTTTTTTTACTAACCTTCCCTTCCTAAGACTCACACCTGAGACACAAAATCATTTCCTCTTTTGCCCTACAAGTCCTTGGTTTCAGCTATTGGCAATATTTGGCAAACCAACCCCGGGCAAGAGAACACCCAGGTATGTGGGTGCGGGCGCCCCGTTCTCCCGCTGCCCCGTCCGTCCGTCCTGCCCCTGCATCGGAGAGGCGGGCTGCCCCAGCTCCGTGAGCGCCAGGCCGGGGAGAAGCCGGGGCGCCGGCTTCGGACACGCCGAGGGAGGGTCAGACCCGCAGGAGAAGGTGCCCTCCCCCCCTCGCAGACAGGCTCAGAGTGCGCTTAGGAAAGTGCTCCCCACGATGTGCATAGGATATATTCAGGGTTTTGCATAATGTTTCAAGTTCTATGGCTAAATGGCCAAGGCAAACGTCTTCCCGCAGCATTTGTCGTAGTGTTTCCATTCCCGTCGCCATTTCTCTCCGGACCCCCATCTGCCGGGGCCCACCTCTCTGGCCCCGGGGCCCGCGGACGGTTCTGTCCTGAGCGGCCAGCGTCCACGCCGATGGCACAGAGGGCCGTCGTCTGCTTCGGGGCCGTGGACCCCAAACAACGCCCGTAAAGCAGAGGGCGGGTGGCACCGGGGCCCAGGCCGGGCCCCCCCGGCCCCTGCAGCATGTTCACCACGTCCGTCTCCTCCCGACATTGAGCTCCAGCCCCGTGGCGAGGCCCTCCCTCTCCCCCGGCATCGGGGGTCAGCAGGTCAGGCAGACGGTCCTTCCCCGGCACAAGGTGACGCTGGCGGGAAAACGCCAGCCGGAGCCGCGCGCCGGCATCCATGCCGCCCGGTCCAGGGGGCTGTGGGCTGTGGGCCACGAAGGAGGCCGCGGCCGGGCCTACACGCCGGGCTCGCTGGGGGCGCCGTTCACGGCCACCTTGCTCCTGTGCCGGGACAGCAGCTTCCTGTGGAGGAGCCGGGAGAGCGTGGCCCCCGGCCGCCGGGGCCCCTCCGGCTGCTGCAGGAGCACCAGGTCGTTGTGGGACTGGCTCAGGCCGGGGTCCTTGTGCTGCTGCCGCCGGCGGAAGAACAGCTTCGCGCCTCTCCGCAAGATGCCTCCTGCAAGAGCAAGGCACAGGGCTGGTCAGCGGGGCCGCGGCGAGGGGACCCCGGAGGGACCAGGCCCGCGGTCGGCAAACCGCGGCTCGCGAGCCACAGGCGGCTCTCTGGCCCCTTGAGCGTGGCTCTTCCACAAAATACCACGGCCCCGGGCGAGTCTGTGTTAGAAGAAGTTTAAGTTTAAAAAATCTGGCTCTTTTGCCGAAACCGGTGTGGCTCAGTGGATGGAGCGTCGGCCTGCAGACTGAAAGGTCCCGGGTTCGATTCCGATCAGGGGCATGTGCCTTGGTTGCGGGCACATCCCCAGTGGGAGGTGTGCAGGAGGCAGCGGATCGATGTTTCTCTCTCATCGATGTTTCTAACTCTCTATCCCTCTCCCTTTCTCTCTGTAAAAAAAATTAATAAAATATATTTTTTAAAAACCTGGCTCTCAAAAGGAACGTCAATCGGTGTGCTGTTGGTATTGGGCTCTGTGGATGAATGTGTTTGCCGACCACTGGGCTGGGCCAAGGTGAAAAGGGAAAGAGGGGACACAAGTGACTCTAAGAAGCAGCAGCTCATTCCTCCAGGCCATCGCTGTTGGCGTGAGAAAAACGACTGGCGTGTGCAGAACACAGGAGGAAGTGAAAGGCGGAGGATGAGAGTAGAAGCAGTGAGCTGGACGACCACCTGCTATCCATTCCAGGGCAGGGACTTCTGTCATCGACTCTAAAACCAGACGGCAGCAGCCTGTCCTGGCCTTGGCCGCTGGGGCCCCCTCGGCCCCCTGTCCCCTGATTTGGTACAGTTCCACCAATCTGTATGTAATAGGGAGTGGGGTGTGCAATGCAAGAAAAAAAAACTAGCAGCAGCAAAAATAAATTCCACAGCAAGGCTTCCTTAAAGATCAAATGCAAGCTACCACGGCAACAGAACTCACTAATCTTACCCTTTCACAAATTAGCTTAGCATGGCATTAACCAAGGCCCAGCAAAGTCAGGGAGCCTGCCCAGCGGGTCTGTGGAGTTCATTACCAGTCATGGAGGTGTTAGTGACTTGGAAAGAAGAAAGACCTGCAGATCACAGAGGGAGCTTTATAGATAATTTGGCAATTCATTCTTTTCCTGATGGACAGGTCTGACAAGTTCTTCAACAGCCAAGACTCACAAAAATACCCACTATGTCCCTAGTAAGGCATTCGTCACCACAGTGCCCTCTTGTGGGTACTCTGGGAACAGCACCCTAGTAAGGGATTCTTGCCATAGTGCCCTAGTGTGGACAGTCTTGGAACAGCACCCCAGGAAGGATTAGTCACTATAGCGCTCTCTGGTGGACACTCTGGGAACAGAACCCTAGCAAGGGATTAGTCATGACAGCGCCATCTTGTGGACACTAAGGGTATAGCACCCTGTTAAGGGAATAATCGCCATAGTGCCCTCCTGTGAAATACTCTTTGAAGCAGTACCCTAGTGAGGGATTAGTTGCCATAGCACCCTCTTGTGGACACTTTGGGAACAGTACCCTAGTAAAGTATTAGTTGTAATAGCATTCTTTGGTGGGCGATCTGGGAACAGCATCCAAGTAAGGGATTAGTTGCCACAGCGCCATCTGGTGGACACACGGAACAGCAGCATAGTAAAGTTGCCATAGCGGCATCTTGTGGACAATCTTGGAACAGTGCCCTAGTAAGGGATTAATTGGCATAGTGTCCTCTTGTGGACACTTTGGGAACAGCACCCTAGTAAGGGCTTAGTCACTATAGTGCCCTCATGTGGGCTCTCTTGGAACAGTACCCTGGCAAGGATTGGTCACCATAGCACCCTCTTATGGGCACCCTGGGAACAGGAGCTTAATAAGGGATTAGTCGTGAAAGCACCATCTTGTGGACAATCCTGGAACAGCAACCTAGTCAGGGATTAGTTGCCATAGTGCCCTTGTGTGGACACTCTTGGAACAGCACCCTGGGAAGTATTAGTCGCTATAGCACCCTCATGTGGACTCCCTTAGACCAAGACCCTGGCAAGGGGTTAGTTGCCAGAGCACCCTCTTGTGGACACTCTGGAAACTGCAGCCTTGTAAAGTATTAGTCACAATTGCGCTCTCTGGTGGGCAATCTGGAAAGAGCACCCTAGTAAGGGATTAGTTGCCATAGCACCCTCTTGTGGAGACTGGGATACTCTTCTACTCTGGCCCTTTCTGCAGACTGAAGAATCAACAATTACGGGAGAAAAGCAGCATGACCATGACTTTCAGAGGCCACTTATCGAACCTGGCCTTGAGGATGAACCTCGTGTCCTGTGTGCCTAGGCTCAGCAACAGAGCAGGGTCACTCAAGAGTGCCAAGAAGTGGGCCTTTTGAATCTGCTGAAAAGACTTAAAACTATGTTTTCCTCTGATCCAATCAAGCCTTCTATTCTGAAAAACCTTAGGACACCTTCTTCAGCTATCTGAAGTTGACAGCCATGTGCAGGGTGTAATGACAGTTGGGGAAGGGGTTGAGCAGGAGGGTGAGTGGTTTCGCTCTCATCCCTGGGCCTGGTGTGCGACACCTGCGGGCCACCAGTGGCCGTCCCTGCAGCCACGCAAATCCCTGTGAGGCAGGGACACAGAAGATCACCAGGTGGACGACCACCTAGCGTCCATTCCAGGGCAGGGATTTCTGTGCCGGCGGGTGTCTGTGCAGGTCACGGTCACCACCATCCACTGCACTTGACCTTGGAGTCTGCACACAGTGGTGTCCATTGGCTAATTACCTGGTGTATCGAGTGCCCGGGCGCAGTGAGGGAGCTCCCGGCCTGACCAGGCACGCTCAGGCTGGGGGCCTAGCAGCTGTTTCTGATGTGTAGGCACCTGCTTCCAGTTAAGCTTGGTGCCTGGAAGAACATGTAACATGGGCTCTCCCACTGGGATGGAGGGGTCCACTCAGTGAACCTGGAACCTCTAATCACACACTCCCACCCATCCCCCCAGGGGGCGTGGGGAGGGGAGCAGACCAGTCCACCCTCGGATCAGCTGGAGACTAGGGTCTCAGCGATCGGAGGGTGTCTCCCAGAGGCCCATCTCCAAAGCCCATGTCGGTGTCCCTGCAAAGAAACCGCTCCGGGGTCCGGAGCCAGGGCGGAGGTGTGGGCAGCGGTGGTGTCATGGTTGGACTGCGTCTCTGGAACATCCCCATGTTGGGGTCCTCACCCCCCCCCCCAGTACCACAGAAGGTGACCTTAGAGACAGGGTCAATTAGAAGTGACCAAGTCGCAGTGCCGTCCCTAATCCAGTTAAGACCCGTGTCCTTATAAACAGGGAGGCTTGGACCCAGACACAGGTCACCCATGTGAAGGGAAAGGCAGATATTGGGGTGCTGAATCCACACGCCCAGAGGAACCAGAGATGCCCCCCAACCACCAGTCGCCGGGGGAGACACGGGACAGGTCCTCTCTCATGGCCTCAGAGGAACCAGTGGGTGCCCGGCCAGTTTCCCCTGACGTGACGTGCCCCTGGCGGCTTCTGTGGGGACAGCACCAGCTCCTCAGGCAGAGGACTGTCAGGTGAGGGGACGTTCGCGATTCTACAGGCCGGAGCCCCGGACACCTCTCCCCGCCACATCAGGGGGAGCGCTGAGCCCCGCTGACCCTGAGGACGCCGAGGCCCCAGAGTGATGCACTCGTCCTGCCAATGTGGGCCCAGCGCGGGCGCCCAAGTCTCCTGTTCGCTCTCCTGCGCTGCCGCGGAGCGGTCTGAGCTGCCCGGGACAGGCCCCCGAAGCAGTGGCCGGCGGGTGTCTGGGCAGGACCCGGCCTGGGCGGTCCCCCGGAGGCCTCGGGAGAGCCAGGCGGGCTGCAGCTGCCCAGGATGTCCCCGAGCTCAGCTGGAGTTCTGCAGGGGCTCGGAAAGGCTTTCTGAGGCTGCGGCTCCAAGGGGCCTGCTGGTGGGGTGGCGGGGAGGGTGCTCTCATGGAGACAGTCTTGGAACAGCACCCCAGGGAGGATTAGTCACTATAGCGCTCTCTGGTGGACACTCTGGGAACAGAACCCTAGCAAGGGATTAGTCATGACAGCGCCATCTGGTGGACACTAAGGGTACAAAACCTTGTTAAGGGAATAATCGCCTAGCACCCTCCTGTGGACACATTGGAAACAGTACCCTAGTAAGGGATTAGTCGCCATAGCGCCCTCTTGTGGACACATTGGGAACAGTACCCTAGTAAGGGATTAGTCGCCATAGCGCCCTCTGGTGGACACATTGGGAACAGTACCCTAGCAAAGTATTAGTTGCAATAGCACTCTCTGGTGGGCGATCTGGGAACAGCATCCAAGTAAGGGATTAGTTGCCACAGCGTAAGGCAAGCCCTTCTCCAGGGCCCACAACTGACCCCACTGACCAGGAAGAGAACTGAGCATTAAGCACAGGTGACTCCATCATTGCGTCTCAATGAAGTTTGTTTGTTTAGACGTGGCCACCACATCGCAATGACCTTCGGAGTAAAAACAGCGCCAGGAGGACTCAGCTGCTTGCGCTGGGCCTGAGGCCCGTAGTGGACAGGCCAGCCAGGCCCTGGGCAGCGGGAGGAAGGCCACAGGGAGCTGTCCTGGCGAGCACTACTGCGTGCTCAGCTTCCTGGGCCAGCTGGGCCCGAGCACCCGTGATCCAGTCCACAGTGGGCATGGGTGGCACATGCACCCGGCGGCCTGAACTGACCACAACCCTGTAGGTGGACGGGCTCCCCCCAACCAACTGGATGCCAGGAGAGCAACCCCCAAGGTCTCCTGGAGACGGGGAACGCTGCCTCCAGGCGCCCTGGTCAGCTCCCGCTGCGCCTCCCGCCTTCAATGTCAGCCCGTCAGCCCCACCATCACTGAGCCCGTTCTGCTCTGGAGCCGGCTGGTGCCGGTGCTCAGAGAGCCCTGCCCGGCGATGCCTAAGAGCCCGGTGCGTGGCACAGACGCCAGGCCCAGAGTCCGGGGAGGAGCCTAACTCCTTTCTCCACCCCTGCTGCCTGCACCCGCCCCCCCCCACCCCTTACCCCAGGCAAGAAGCGAGACTCAGCCACGGCCTTAACGGCTCCCTCCCGCGGGCACAACAGGGAGCCTGTTATGTGAAATGTGAGGCAAATCACCAAAACTGTAAACGGGGGACAGGAAGAAGGGGAAAAAACCTAAGGTGACCAGACGTCCCAATTTTTGACAATTTGTCCCTCGTCCCACAGCGTTTTAAAAAAGTCCCGAACGCCGCAGGACGCAGGACAAATTGTTAAAAATAGAAATTGGGACTTCTTTAAAACGCGGAGGGATGCAGGACAAATTGTTAAAAGTCGGGACTGTCCCGCCAAAAGCGAGATGTCTGGTCACCTTAAAGAAACCGTTCCTGGTCCTAGCAAAGCTACAGACCGAAGAATAAACACTAAGTGAAGGGATTTAACATTTTTTCCTGAGTGACAGCCTGAATCCATATGTGCCTGTGCTTCCACAGAGTTTCGCAGACATAAACAGCTCACTGAGGGATTTGTCTTAAACCCTAATAGGAAGGAAAACTGACCACAGAAGCGCCTAGACCGCAATCTGCCGCCCAAACAGCAGCATGGGACTCAGGCGGCCTGTGGACGGTCAGGGATCACAGTGACCGCTCGTTTAAAAAAAAAAGTGTTTTTTCATTGAGAGGAAGCGGAAGGGAGAGGGAGAGAGAGAAATACGCCAACACCCATTGGCTGCCTCCTGCACACCCTCTGCTGGGGATGGAGGCCGCAACCTGGGCCTGTGCCCTGATCGGGAATCGAACCGGTGACCTCCGAGTGCGGGGTCAGCGCTCACCTCCTGAGCCACACTGCCCCGGCGTCAGGGAGCACGCTGTAGACCAGAGGAAGTCAGGGGCCGGTCTGCGTGCATGTCGTAGCAAGGCTGCTTTTCCCGACGGGTTCAGAGACACGCCCTCCCCAGGCTGGCTGAGACAAAGGCGCTCCAGGAACGGAGCAGAAAACAAACTGCACCCGGGAAGTCACACTAGGAAGGTGCGGGGGAGGACGGGGGTGGACTCCTGCTGTGCTCCAGTACTCCTTGCTTTGTCACAGCAAGGCTACAGTCTAAAAATACACATAGCCAGCGACAAGGAGCCATGGGTCAGACTGTTGGACCTCGGAGGGAGGGTGGGGATAAAAGGGAGAGATCCACCAAAGGACTTATGTGTACACATATGAGCCCAATCAGGGGTCAAGGACAATAGGGGGGTGGGGGCATGAGTAGGAGGGGGTAGAGGATTGAAATGGGAGGTTGAGGACAGATATGTGATACCTTAATCAATAAAGAAATTAATTTTTTTTTTAAAATACACATAGCCGCCGAAAGCGGTTTGGCTCAATGGATAGAGCGTCGGCTTGGGGACTGAAAGGTCCCTGGTTCGATTCCGGTCAAGGGCATGTACCTTGGTTGCGGGCACATCCCCAGTGGGGGGTGTGCAAGAGGCAGCTGGCCGATGCTTCTCTCTCATCGTCGTTCCTAGCTCTCTATCTCTCTCCCTTCCGCTCTGTAAAATATCAATAAAATATATTTTTAAAAAAATAAAAATAAAAATACACATAGCCAAAACCGGTTTGGCTCAGTGGATAGAGCGTCGGCCTGCGGATTGAAAGGTCCCAGGTTCGATTCCAGTCGAGGGCATGTACCTTGGTTGCAGGCACATCCCCAGTAGAGGATTGATGTTTCTAAGTCTCACTCCCTCTCCCGTCCTCTCTGTAAAAAATCAATAAAATGTATGTAAAATAATGAAATAAAAAGACACATAGAGACGAAGACCACTTACTGTGAAGGAATTAACTCAGGCTGGCCCAGCGTCCTCCAAGCGAAAGGGAAGGAGCAGGAGATGGAGAGGCGGAAACAAGCGTGCGAGAGCAAAATGAGAATGAGAGAGGGTGAGTGCGGAGCTGACGTGACACACACACGCACGCACACGCACACGCACACGCACACACACATGCATGAGTCGCTGGGCAGGGCGCTCGGCGGGCCTTGGCGCACGCATTCGCGTGTCCGTGCTGTGTTGCGGTAACACACACATGCGGCGCACACGCGGCCACCCCGGTGTTCCCGGGCCCGGGCCAGGCGTGGGAAGCCTGGTCCCACTGCCGGGAAGCCACGTCCGCACTGTGTGTGTGGACCCCGGGCCCGGCTCCGGGGAGGGAACTGCAAACACAGGCTCGGGGCCCTGCACCCCCAGCCACGCCCGGAAACCCGGCTCTGACCTCCCTGCCGCCCCGGACCACCCGGCTCCTCAGCCAGAACAACCCGCTCCGGTTTGGAAGGAGAGAAGATGCCCGGCCGCTCCCTGCACCACCAGGCAAACCTGTCCGTGGGAAACAGCAACGCTCTGGCCCCGCCTCACAGCGACCCCGAGGGGCGGACACCACCTGGGAGGGGCCCAGTGCAGATGGCTGCGAGCATGGGACCCGGGGCCGTTGTCACTCCCCGCCCGCCTGTCCCTTCTGAAGCCGCATCAGCCGCCCTGAATGCCAGCCTCGGGGGGCGCTCAGAGTGAGAGCTGGAAGCAGCGCCCACCTGCCTGGTGCCTTTTGGAGGGTGCCATCCACTGGGCTGGTGGCTGGAAAGGGGCGGGAGGGCCACACCCAGCAGGGATGGGAACCCGGGGGGAGGGGAAGGGGGGGCGGGAGGAGAGGAAGAGCAGAGGGAGGAGGATGGCCAGAGGCCCGGGAATGGACCCGGCTCAGGGAGGCTGGCCGTTGAGAGTGTCCAGGCGGCGGGCGGGAGGCCTGGCCTCCGAGAGTGGAGATGGAGGGAGGGAAGGGCGGCCCCTGCCTGCCCCGGGCCAGGGGAGTCCTGGCGGCTCTGGACAAAGAGCCGGCCAGAGCAGGGGTGCAGCCACACCGCCTCCTCCAAACCCAGGCCCAGAGGTCATGCACGGTCACAGCTTCCCAAGCCCCTCGAGTCACCAGCCTCAGTCCATGGGGGACTTCCTCATGGGGTCTGGACACCGTACCCGGAGCCGCCTCCTTCCTCTCCTCCTCCTCCTCCCCCCCATCTGTGCCCGGCCGGCTGGAGGGAGGCTCCTGGGAGAGGCAGGAAGCCAACGGGAGGAGGCGGGAGGATGGACAGACGCCCCTATGGTGGGTCCCACCCGGACCGGGACCTGGGGCCACGGTGAGGCTGGGGTCGCCCTGATCAGCACCCTGAGCCAGCAGCACCCTGAGCCCGCAGCACCCTGAGCCAGCAGCACCCTGAGCCAGCAGCACCCACTCTCTCTGCGACAACAGAAGCTGTCTCCCGGCACGGCGAACGCCCCCGCACACACGCCTGTCTGAGCCCGCCGGCCCCAGCACCAGGAGCCACAGGCAGAGACAGCGAGGCAGGACAGCCGGCCGGCCGGGCTCCCGCCTGGCACTTCTTGCCACTGATGTGCTCGGGGCCGAGGACTTCACACCAGTCGCACTGTCACTCCCGTCGGCTCAGGGCCTGGCGCGCAGGGTATGGAGGGAGGAGGGCAGAGCGGCGGGCACGTCCCCAATTCCCAGTTACGAGGAGGGAGCTGGGCCTCAGCGAGCCCTGAAGGCTCCCCTGGAACTGGCCCGGGGCCCAGACTGCACTCCCTCCCACGGTCCCTCCCGCCCCTGCCGTCTGACGTGCCTCACGAGAGGAATTCCCACAGGAAAGCCTGGGTGAGCGCTCGCGGAAGCCAAGGTCATCCTGATGGAATGACCCCCTCATCGGGACATGCACTGAGCTGATGGGTTCCCTTTCCGGAAGCTTCTCTCTTTGGGGGAGAGTGAGGCTCCAGCCGGGAGGGGTGGTCTGGTTTTGGTTGGAGGGGAGTGAGTGTCTCAGAGGCACCAATGAGCAGCAATGCCAACCTCGCCGAAACAGGTTTGGCTCAGTGATAGAGCCTCGGTCTGCGGACTGAAAGGTCCCAGGTTCGATTCCGGTCAAGGGCATGTACCTTGGTTGAGGGGACATTCCCAGTAGGAGGTGTGCAGGAGACAGCTGGTCGATGTTTCTCTCTCATCGACGTTTCTAACTCTCTATCCCTCTCTCCTCCTCCTCTCTGTAAAAAATCAATAAAATATATTTTAAAAAAAAGAAATGCCAACCTCCATGCTTAGAGTAAGGTGGCCAGACGTCCCGCTTTTGGCGGGACCCTCCTGATTGTTAACAATTTTGACAAATTGTTTAAAAAATCGGGACGGTCCCGCCAAAAGCGGGAAGTCCAGTCACCTTAACTTAGGGGGCCCTGTCTCTGCCTGGTTTAGTCCTGTTCTGGGGCGGGGGTGGGGGGCGACCAGAGGAGGGGTCCCTCCGAGCAGGAACCCCGCCATTCGTTCAGAAGGACTCTGCAGCCCTGCCGTGCACCCCCTGACCTTCAGCACCGGCGTCTGTGCGGGAACGCGGGGTGGGACGCTGAGGGGAGGGGAAGGAGGCGGACACGGAGAGCCAGAAGCTCGGAAACCGGCACAGGAGCAGAGCCGCCTGCGGTCGATCCCGGGGTGCAGGGCACGTACCTTTGTGCTTTTTGGGGGCCCCTGGCTCCCAGACGTTCAGGGAGCTCTCCGACAGCTCATCCCCCTCGGGGTCCCGCAGGGCGTGGCCGTCCCACGCCTCGGCCTGCGACTCCCCCCAGGAGGCCAGCTCGCCACCGTCCTGGGGCTCGGGGGCCAGTGCGGCCTGGGCCGAGGCCGCTGCCGCCGCCTCCTCCTCCTCCTCCTCCTCCTCCTCCTCCTCCTCCTCCCCCGCCTCCTCGGATGGGGTGGAGGCGGAGGCCGAGGCCACCCCCGGAGGGGATGGGGCGTCCTCCTGGCGGCTGCTGTCCATGGAGGCCGCGTAGTCCAGCATCAGGGCGGCGTCACTGTCCTGAGAGAGAGAGGTCTGTCCGGGAGAGAGGGAGAGCCGGGGAGAGGGAAGGTCAGAGGAATCAGCCCCAACATCCTGGCTAATTCCAAAGCGTCCGAGAGGCCTGGCCCCGGAGGCAGCTCCTCTAACACGCGGCTGCGCCCGCCAGAGTGGCTCGCTGGTGGCTGTCGTCCCCATGCACCGGAAGGCTGCGGGTTCGATTCCCAGTCAGGGCACATACCTGGGCTGTGGATTTAGTCCCCAGCAGGGGGCATACACAAGGCAACCAGCCGATGCCTGCCCGCCCCCCCCCCCCTCTCTCAGCATGTCCCAAGTGAGACTTTTAAAAATTAAATTAAATTTAAAGAGAATTGAATATTAGCCGAAACCGGTTTGGTTCAGTGGATAGAGCATCGGCCTGCGGATTGAAAGGTCCCGGCTTCGGTTCCGGTCAGGGGCATGTACCTTGGTTGCAGGTACGTCCCCGGTGGGGGTGTGCAGGAGGCAGCTGATCGATGATTCTCTCTCATCGATGTTTCTAACTCTCTATCCCTCTCTCTTCCTCTCTGTAAAAAAATCAATAAAATGTATTTTTTTTAATTTAAAAAACATTAAAAAAATTATATTAAATTTAAAAAGAACTGAATTATACATATATTATTCAGTTATATATATATAAATAGGTGCATATCGGGGGCTGAACCTCAGTCACCGCAAGGGGCGCAGCCTGAGCTGGGAATCTGGAAGGGGTCGGGGGAGGGGGCATCTCTGCCCCAGCCCATGGGCCTGCCAGGCGCCTGTGGGAGCCCCGGGGGTGAGGTGGAAGAGTCTCAGAGAGGCCACAGGGTAACCCCGGAGCCCCAGATTCAGTCCGTCTTTGAATCTTTGTTTCTACAGCATCTTTAGGTTTCCTGAAAGTAGAAACGAATTGGTATGCAGCGTGTGCCCTAAGAATTACACGTGTGTAAAACCCGTGTAGGTGCTGCTCTCCCCTGGGCTGGGAGTCAGGGAGGCGTCTCTCTGGAGGGTGGGAAGGGACTATGGGGGACACAGGGCTCTGGGGGCTGGGCTGAGGTTCTGACCGGGGGCAGGTGCACAGGAGCATCTGCTCCGTGCCCCTGAACTGCCCTTTCTGATTCGGGGGCCCAGGGACTCGAGGTCGGATCAAGTGAGCAGACGTTAAGGTCCATGAGCTGCTGCTGATCTACAACGAAGCTCAGAGGAGAAGACCAAGCCTCCTCCTACGTCATTCGTCATCCTGTGCACCCAGAACCTCCACAGACAAAACCCCCGCCTGGGGTCAGGGAGTCCCAGAGACGCCCTCGCCGCCTGCTGGCTGTGGCGGGAAGTGCACGCAGGAAGCCAGGGAGGCGTGACCTGCTCCTGGAGGCCACCAGCCAGCGGTGCCTGCTGGGACGTGGCACTGGCCACCCATAGGCCCTGAGATTCACGGCGACTCCCCTCTGGCACCTCCCGTTCTGGCCTTTCTCCTGGTAGCTGAGGGCAGGGCCCTCCTGCGCCACCCTCTGGTGCCCTCCACCAATCCACTGCCCTCGGGGTTCAACCATCCCTCCTCCTCGGTCCCTCCTCCCACCATGGCTCTCCCAGCCCCGCCTCCACTGCTCCCGTTCCCCTGGGGGGGGGGGGGAGGGGGCTGAGCTGCCCAGAGCTCCCCAGGTGTCTGACCTGTGAGAGAAGCGTCAGGACCGCCAGGCGGCCCCTCGCAGAGGGGCTGGCCTCTCCGGCAGCCCGGCCTGCCTGGCGCCCCCTGGGGATGGACGGCCTCGCCCCACCCTCTGCTCCGGACAAACGTCCCAGAGCAGCCGGAGGAAGGGGATCGGAGCGTGTTTAAAAACAAGCTCCGCGCCCCGCGCGCCCCGGAGGGCAAAGGGCGCGCCGCGCATTGCGGAACGCGGAGGCGGTGTGGACAGGTGCAGCCTGGAAGGTGACAGCGCCCGTCACCGAGCGGGGATGAGGGAGGAGGTGCCGTCCCCAGCACCTGCCGGCCTTTCTCTCCCGAGGACGTTTCTTCAAACCATTCACCGACCTCAGCAGCCCCCGCACCCGGTCGGAATCGGCTGTGTTTCCTCCATCAGCGGGCGAACTGCCCCAGAGGAGAGGCCGCGTCATTGCAACCGTGGCCGGGAGCTCAGCGGCTCCCCGAGGGAGGGGCAGCGGGACAGCGGCGGGGGGCGGGGGCACACACCTTGGAGATCCCTGATATGATGATGGTGCTCCGCTTCCGCGGCGACTTCAGCTTCAGCTTCGAGGACTCGCTGAGCTGCCGGATGGCGACCTCGGCCACGGGGTCCGAGCCGTTCAGCACCAGCAGTTCTGGGGGGAGGAGGGGCAGCGCTGAGCCTCTGCGGGACCCTCCGGGAGGGGACACGGTGCGTCTGGGTGGGAGCCTCTGCTCGGCGGAGGGCATGGAAGACGGTGAGGGCAGGTGAACAAGAGGCCGCTAACCTTCCGGGACCCGGACCTTCGGGGACAGAGCAGTCACTCCCGTCCCTGGGGAGACGGGCGGCCACGCTGGTGTCAGGCTGAGGGCCAGCGCGGACAAGCGGCCCCTGCCCGCGGTCAGAACCACACACGGGCACCATCTGGGGACACTCGGCACGCACCAGCCGGCGTGCCTGGGCTCTGAGCACGGAATCCCATTCACCGTCCCCGGCCCTTTTTCTAAATATAGTTTATTGATTTCTCACAGAGAGGAAGAGAGAGGGACAGAGAGTTAGAAACATCGATGAGAGAGAAACATCGACCAGCTGCCTCCTGCACACCCCCTACTAGGGATGTGCCTGCAACCAAGGTATAATACGTGCCCTTGACCGGAATCGAACCCGGAACCTTTCAGTCCGCAGACTGACGCTCTATCCACTGAGCCAAACTGGTTTCGGCCTGAAGCGGGTCCTTTCTAAGTTCTTGACTGGGAAACTGGGAGATGGAGGCCCAGCCTCTGTGCTACCAGAGGAAGATGGAAGTGACAACACAACACGGAGTAGGATGTAAAACAAGGGGAGCTTCTGGGCCCGAGGGCGTGTGAGGCCTGCAAAAGGGGTGGGCTAGCCGAAACCGGTTTGGCTCAGTGGATAGAGCGTCGTCCTGCGGACTGAAAGGTCCCAGGTTCGATTCCGGTCAAGGGCATGTACCTTGGCTGCGGGCACATCCCCAGTGGGGGGTGTGCAAGAGGCAGCTGATCGATGTTTCTCTCTCATCGATGTTCCTAACTCTCTATCCCTCTCCTCTCTGTAAAAAATCAATAAAATATATATATTTTTAAAAGGGGGTGGGCTAATGACACGAAGGACATTATAAATATCCAGATGGCTCATGACAGGAAAAAGGTCCCGTTCCTGATGTAAAAGCAGGTTTTCTCATCTCAGTTTGGGCCTGGCCTGCAGGGACGAAGGGCGCGGTGCCAGCCTGGCCAGGCCGCAGGGAGAGGAGAGGGAGGAGAGAAGGGGGGGAGGGCGCTTTAGGAGACAGCCGTGCGGTGACTCCCACTGACTCCAGCGGACAGGACGGGGCTGGGCTGGGGGACCTGCAGGGCTGCGTCCCGGGAACCACGGAGACTCCCACAGGGACACCCCCGGAGAGAGGATCCAGAACATCCCAGGGTAGCACCCGTCAAGAGAGAACCCTGCCCCACCCCCGGGCCCACCTGCTCCTCCTGGCCCCCCCTGACCTGGAAGATCAGACACAGACCGAGGAACGGGGAGCGGGGAGCGGAGCCAGAGCCGCGGGCCCCAGAGCCCCACGCAGGCTGTGCTGACTGAGAGACAGCTCAGCTCTTTAAAGCCGTCGTGAGAGCGGCCGTAAGGGTGGGAGACGGGCAGCCGGGGTCTGGGGGACCCTCCTCCCAGCAGGCCTCGGGGACAGCGGGGACCAGACTGAAGCTGGCTCTCAGTTACGCCCCAGGCCTCCCACGCCCTGAGTCACACAGCTCGGATGCTGAACAGGAGAGAGGAATGTTCAGGGATTCCATCCAGGGAGGGCCTCGCCTCCTTCACTGCAGCAGGCGCCACCCTCCTGGCCTTCCATCGGCTTCCATTTCGCTCCTTCTCCGGCTTAACTTATTCCTCAAAGAACTTCCCAAACTCCCCAACCAATGCTCCCTCATCAGGGGCGAGGCAGAGGGCGGAGCCTAGGGCAGGGGAGGAGCCCAGAGGGGCAGAGGGCAGAACCCAGAGGGGCAGAGGGCAGAGCCCAGAGGGCAGAGCCCAGAGGGGCAGAGGGAGGAGCCCAGGGACAGAGGGAGGAGCCGAGGGGCAGAGGGAGGAGCCCAGAGGGGCAGAGGGCAGAGCCCAGAGGGGCAGAGGGCAGAGCCCAGAGGGGCAGAGGGCGGAGCCCAGGGGCAGAGGGAGGAGCCCAGAGGGGCAGAGGGAGGAGCCCAGAGGGCGGAGGGCAGAGCCCAGATGACAGAGGGAGGAGCCCAGAGGGGCAGAGGGCGGAGCCCAGATGACAGAGGGAGGAGCCCAGAGGGGCAGAGGGAGGAGCCCAGATGACAGAGGGAGGAGCCCAGAGGGGCAGAGGGCAGAGCCCAGAGGGGCAGAGGGAGGAGCCCAGATGACAGAGGGAGGAGCCCAGAGGGGCAGAGGGAGGAGCCCAGATGACAGAGGGAGGAGCCCAGATGACAGAGGGAGGAGCCCAGAGGGGCAGAGGGCAGAGCCCAGAGGGGCAGAGGGCGGAGCCCAGATGACAGAGGGAGGAGCCAACAGGGGCAGAGGGAGGAGCCCAGGGGCAGAGGGAGGAGCCAACAGGGGCAGAGGGAGGCGTGGGGCGGCCTTACCTGTGTCAGAAGAAGACAGGGTTTTGCTGACCGGAGGGCTGTGGCAGGAGATGGCCTGGACGGAGATGTCCTTCTCGATCACCCGCACCTTGACGGGCGTCCGCAGCGGAGACTCTGCCGGGACAGACGCCGGTTACCCATCGCCTGAACCCGGCACCGGGCGTGCAGTCACACCTCATCTCAACTGACTGTCACAGCCAACCTCAGGAGGGCCGAACGGCCTCTCACTCTTTCCTCTCTTCTGGGGCCGGGGCTGCCAGAAAGGGGTGCTGGGAGCTCAGGTTTAAATAAAACTTCAGAAAAGCTTTCCCTGAGGGAAGTGTCACGCTCTGTTTTGCATTCATAACAGAATGCGAAGGGGTCTGCGCTGGGAAGATTCTACCTCAGTATATGCAGAAACACGGTATAAGTTTAAAAAACAAAACAAAACAAAAAAAACCCGATAATCAGCCGAAACCGGTTTGGCTCAGTGGATAGAGCATCGGCCTGCGGACTGAAAGGTCCCAGGTTCGATTCCGTTCCAGGGCATGTACCTTGGTTGCGGCCACATCCCCGGTGGGGGGTGTGCAGGAGGCAGCTGATTGATGTTTCCCTCTCATCGATGTTTCTAGCTCTCTCTCCCTCTCCCTTCCTCTCTGTAAGAAATCAATAAAATATTTTTAAAAAATGATAATCACACAGGTGTCTCCCAGGCCGTGCCGTGGGAACAGGCAGGGAATTCCGCTGCATCTGAAAGGCGGCCCATCGCGCCTGCTGACCCCGAGCTCAACACGGGCAGCTCCACACTGGCCACTCCACACTGGCCACGCGCATCCCGGGTCCCGAGAGCGTGGCGCCCTCGCCCCAGGACCGTAACGAAGTTATTAAATCATCAAGTTACTTCATCCGGGACCTCAGCTTTAGCTTCAGAACAGACTACAAGGCTGTCATTCCTCTGACAAAGCAGGAAGATCATTTTCTTAAAAAAAAAAAAAAAGAAAGAAAAAAGAAAAGAGGAAAAGCTGCACACAGGTCTTGCCCATCCCCACAACCCCGCACCCTGAGATCTGCTAAAAGGCCCCCCATGCGGGCCCTCTGAACCCCCCCCACCGGTGTGGGCCCTCTGACCTTCCCCCCCCCCCCCCCCCCCCCGTGCGGGCCCTCTGCCCCCGGGGCCCAGCGAGACCGCGGCCCCTCACCCGAGCTCAGCGGGGACGCCCTCCCGGCGTCCGGGCGCGGCTTGCTCTTCACGGCGGTGACGGTGGTGACCACGGTCCCGCAGGGCATCACCGTGCGGTCCTTCTCCACCTTGGCGGCGGGCACCGGCGGGGGCGTGTGCCAGGACTTGGCCTCTGCGGGTTCCACGTAACAGAACTGCGGGGGAGGCCGCCCGGGCGTCCGGTCAGTGCCGGGACCACCCGCACCGCCCGCGGGCCTCCTCTCACCCGATCGCCCCGGGAGGGTCCGGGTGAGTGAACGCAGGCCCCCCCCCTCCCCCCGGGGCTGACACAGGCCGGCGAGGCCCAGGCTCCAGCCCAGCCGCCGCACCCACGATGGGGACACAGGCGGAGGGACCCCCAGCCCTCGTGAGATGACCGCAGACCCCTCGGCCAGGCCGGGGGCAGGAAGGGTCCTGGTCCAGCCGGGGACCTTCCGGAGGGTTGAGGGCCCCTTGGGAATGCACATGGATGACCTATACATTAGCTGAAACCGGTTTGGCTCGGTGGATAGAGTGTCGGTCTGCGGACTGAAAGGTCCCAGGTTCGATTCAGGTCAAGGGCATGTACCATGGTTGCGGGCACATCCCCAGTGGGGGGGGGGATTGGGGGGGTAGGGCGGGAGGCCAGAGGCAGCTGATCGATGATTCTCTCTCATTGATGTTTCTAACTCTCTATCCCTCTGTCTTCCTCTCTGTGAAAAATCAATAAAATATATATATATTTTAAAAATTAATGTCAGCTGAGTCCGAGGTGTCTGGCATGGCCGTCCCCAGAAACAGCCTCCCAAAAGGCGGGAGACTGTGATCAGTACCAATTCCTTATCTTTACCCAAGTGCTTGGAATGAGGACCGAATAGGACCTTGACTTACCCAGGTCTGGATCTGCTAAATCCCGGAATGAGGGAATGAATAGGACCTGGGCACACCCAAAACGTCTCTGACCTTAACCCCCTCTGGAAATCCGTGGATGGGCTGTGCTGTCTGCGGTGGGTGTGACCGTCTCTCCACCAGAGTGACAGCCCCCACCCGGGTCCCAGCTCTTCTCTATTTCTGTGTCTTGGTCTCTTTTTTCCCCCCTTTATTTCTTAATCCCCAGCTCCTCCACTCAGGAGCCTGTCGTTTTCCGTGCGGGTCGAGGAAAACAGAGAAGCAGCCCCTCACAAGGAGGGGCCTCTGACGACCACGGAGGCGCCCCTCCCCTGCAGGGGGCGCTGGGCACGTACCTCGGCGGTGACCGAGCCCAGGGCCGCGCCGTCCGCCGAGGGCCCGCGGGTCAGCACGAAGCTCTGCAGCCCGGAAGGCCGCTTCCTGAACAGATCCAGAGGGACGGAGGCCGTGGCCAGCGGGGCTGGAAGACAGCACACGGCGGTGAGCGAGCGCAGGGATGGCCCCGGCCCGGCAGGATGGCAGGGCCAGCAGCTGCAGCCAGACCCACTCCTGATGGCAGACCGTTCGCTTGGAAACATCTGACCAGGGTCAGGGTCAGGAAAAGGCCGAGGAGGCTAAGAGGCGTGACGCTGGGGCAGCGTGGGAACCTGCCCCGCGGGGGACACAGCTGGTCTGAAGACGAGCTGTGGGTCCACGGATACAAGTCGGAATCTGGGCGGCGGTTAAGGAACCGTTCCGCGGCAGCGCAGAAAACTGGTGCGGTTCCCGGGACAGTGAGAGCAGCCCCGTCGGTAACGCACCCTACGGAGCTGAGGGGTGAAAGGCCCGTGACGCACAGAACTGCCCTCGTGTGTGTGCAGGTGTGCGCGTGTTACAGAGAGAGCATGCACACAAGCAAGTGTGACCAAGTGTGAGCACAGCCAATAGAGGAAACGGGGCAAATGTGGTCATAGGTGAGTCTGAGTTCTTTGCTGTGTGTGGTGTGTGTGTGTGTGTGTGTGTGTGTGTGGTGTGGTGTGTGTGTGTGGTGTGTGTGTGTGTATGGTGTGTGTGTGTGTGTGTGTGTGGTGTGTGTGTGTGGTGTGTGTGTGTGTGTGGTGTGTGTGTGTGTGTGGTGTGTGTGTGTGTGGTGTGTGTGTGTGTGTGAGGTGTGTGTGTGTGGTGTGGTGTGTGTGTGGTGTGTGTGTGGTGTGTGTGGTGTGTGTGTGTGTGTGAGGTGTGTGTGTGTGGTGTGTGTGTGTGTGTGGTGTGTGTGTATGTGTGGTGTGTGTGTGTGTGTGGTGTGTGTGTGTGTTTGTGTGTGTTTGTGTGTATGTGTGTGGTGTGTGTTTGTTTGCGTGTTTGTATGTATGTGTGTGGTGTGTGTGTGTGTGTGTGTGTGTGTGTGTGTGTGTGTGTGTGTGTGTGTGTGTGTGTGTGTGTGTGTGTGTGAGGTGTGTGTGTGTGGTGTGTGTGTGGTGTGTGTGTGTGTGTGTGTGTGTGTGAGGTGTGTGTGTGTGGTGTGTGTGTGTGTGGTGTGTGTGTGTGGTGTGTGTGTGTGTGTGGTGTGTGTGTGTGGTGTGTGTGTGTGTGTGGTGTGTGTGTGTGTGTGTGTGTGTGAGGTGTGTGTGGTGTGTGTGTGTGTGTGGTGTGTGTGTGTGTGTGTGAGGTGTGTGTGTGTGGTGTGTGTGTTAAGGTTGAAATGTCACAGCCCCCCTCCAGCTGGGATGAAATTCCGATGGAGCCGAAAGGAGCCCCCGCCCTCCCCGCCCCCCCGGGGATAACGGAGCTTCTCCCCAGGCAAACAGCGGGCCCGTGTGCAGGCCCGGCTCCCAAAGGTCAGCTCTGACCTCAGGGGCAGCCCAGGCACCTCAGGATGCAGGTCAGGGCAGCCCCTCAGCGTTCCCGCTCGGGAGCGGGCGGCGAGCCCTGGGTCTGTGTAATGCCAGCCGATAAGCGAAGGCCTGGGACGCACAGCCGGATGAGACAGGTAAGCCCTCCCCCCATCTCCCAATTTTGATATGTTTATGGGGATTTTTAAAAATCCAATCGAGCCGAAACCGGTGTGGCTCAGTGGATAGAGCATTGGCCTGTGGACTGAAGGGTCCCAGGTTCAATTCCGGACAAGGGCATGTACCTTGGTTGTGGGCACATCCCCAGTAGAGGGTGTGCAGGAGGCAGCTGGTCGATGTTTCTCTCTCATCGACGTTTCTAGCTCTCTATCCCTCTCCCTTCCTCTCTGTAAAAAAATCAATAAAAATATTTTTTTAAAATCCAATCGATCTGGAAACTATGAACTATAGCAGGTCCATATTCACTTTGGTGACATGGTGGTTTTTTACCTCTAATCGCTGTTTCCCTGCATCTAACGCATGTGCTCAATTTGAGCTGCTGCGGCTCATTCTCCAAGGAAAAGCCGGTGGGAAGCCATAGAGACAGACGGAGGGCGATGCTGGGGGCTGGGGAGGGGGAGGGGGCCAGTGTGCAGTGGGGCTGAGTTTCAGTTTTGCAAGATGAAAGGAGTTGGACGGATGGTGGTGCTGGTTGCACAATCATGTGAATGCCCTGAACGCCGCTGAGCTGCACGCTAAAACGTGGCCAAGGTGACAACCGTTGCAACATGTATTTCATCATAATTTAAAAAAAATTTTTTTTTTTAAGTCTGTTGAGGCTAAGAGGGTTGAGAACTGCTTCTCTAAACCAAGAACTGTTAAAAATAAAAGACTCTGGATATCTGGTAAATAAATAAACAGATAAAAAAAAAAAAACCCTCTTTGAATACACTCTTTCCCATAATGCACCTTATTAATACCTGAATGGATTTTCAGCCAAACATTCCCTGGGGAGGCCCTGATGCTATGGGGGGTGGGGGAGGCCGCCTCGGGGTCTCCCGCCCTGCCCGGCCCTGGATGACCCTTCGCGAGGGCAGGGCCTCCGTCCCCCTGCTCGCCACCCACCTTCTGCGGACGGCCCGTCCTCCGAGATCTGCAGGTGCAACTCCTTCGACTTGGCGTTCAACTCGCTGCACAGAGAAAAAGAGCTGTGAGCCCTCACTTTTTGAAATAGTACTTTTTTCCTGACTACAGGAAGGACTAGTCATCATCCCTATTTTAAAAACTGCGAGACAGCCGGGACCGGTTTGGCTCAATGGATAGAGCGTCGGCTTGGGGACTGAAAGGTCCCGGGTTCGATTCCGGTCAAGGGCATGTACCTTGGTTGCGGGCATATCCCCGGTAGGGGGTGTGCAAGAGGCAGCTGATCGATGACTCTCTCTCATCGATGTTTCTAACTCTCTATCTCTCCCTTCCTCTCTGTACAAAATCAATAAAATATATTTTAAAAAAAACAAAAAACTGCGAGACACATAACCAAGAACATAAAGATTATGTGCAACCTCACTATCCTTAATATTTAGTGCCTAATATCCTAGAATTACCCAACATCCTGAGGACGGTGGGTCTAGTTCACACAGGTGCTTGTAACTTCACGTTACTGGGACTGCTTCTGGTTTTCATCACTTCCAGGGATTGTCTCTAAAAATATATTTTTAAAGAAGTGTCCGTAAATCTTGTTCTAATGATTTTTAGCATTAGAAATGGGTATGAAATGTCACTGGATATCTCTGGAGCATAAGCAGATCTGCCTTCCAAAAGGAATTTATGTTTGACTTAAAGCTGCCTCCGATGCCTAATATGCTTTTTAAAAACGAGAAGTCATTTTTGTGTGCTGTGAAAGGATCTCAGGGGCTGGCCATCTGAGCAGGTGTCACCATGGAAACCCAGGCCCCCGGAAACGGAACAGGCACGCACAAGGCGAATTCGTCTTCCCAGGTGAGGTCCGTAGTGTGTCTCGGGAGGGCGCTGGCGAGCTTCTGAGCGGGGTCGTTGAGCTGCACGTGGCAGCGGAGGTTGGCGGGGCCTGGAATCACACACAGGCAGGCACTGCCTTTTACGTTTGCCTCTTCACAGCTCTGAGACACTTCTGCACTCCAAGGAAGGCTCAGTACAGTGCCCAAGGTCCTGCTCACCCACTTCCTTCCATTTGTCAGGTATAAACTCTCAAAGCATCCCACTTCCCCTGGGGTTAAAGACTCTACCCACACTGCAGAGCCCCGGACTGACCCCAAGCGCCTGCTCACGGTAGGGGATCCTCCTGGGGGCGACCTGAATACAAGACCCGCTTCTGGCCAAGACCCACCACTTGCTAGATGTGGGGACAACTCACAGAGAATCCACTCCCTAGTTACCCCAGGTGTGGTGTTCACACCTGGCTCAGCTCCTTTCAAACCTCTCTGGGTGTCTGTCCAGGTAAAGGGACTCCACTAGCCAACAGCTGCCTCTGCTCCGAGGCACTGCCCGCCCCTGGGCACTGCCTGCCCCGCGGCGTCTGAACACACCATGCGATCAACCATCGCTGGGCTCTGCCGGCCCTTCTCCATGTGCCTGGCTCCGTGAGGCGTTCACCAAGGTTCACCATCCCCTCCCAGGGGAGGCTCAGACCCTGAAGGACCCCAACCCCGGCCGACTGGGTCCGGGAGGTCCCCTCTTAGTCACTGAGCGTGGGGCCCCAGGAGGCAGCACGTGGGCGCTTTTCCCAAAGCCATCACTGCACCCAGCTCTGCCGAATGCTGGCTGTTCGGTGGGGCCTGTCTGCACTGGGAACGGAAAGAAGCTCCTCGCAGACAAAGAGAAGGAACCCCGACACCCTCTGACCATAGAGAGAAGCACTGCTGTTCCCAGCACAACTGCGTCCTGTCCCGGCTGCGGAGCCCTTGGGTCTCAGCAGCGATTCACAGCCCCCGGAAGGCACTCCTCCGGGGGGACTTTCCTCTCCCCTCAGACGGCAGCCGCTCTGCACCGGAGGGTCCCCGCTGGACACAAACAAACCGCCCGGGGTCCCTCCCCCAAAAGCAGGTTGGTCAGGGATGCTGAGTGTGCATTTTCAGGCTCAACAGTGGGGGGAAAAGAAAAGTAAATGGTGCCTCCCAGACTCAAGGAAAAGGGGAAAGCTACTGCTGTATTCCCCTTCCTTCCTTCCTTCCTTCCTTCCTTCCTTCCTTCCTTCCTTCCTTCCTTCCTTCCTTCCTTCTTTCCTTTTTTCCTTCCCTCCCTCCCTCCCTCCCTCCCATCTGGAAAACCCAGGCTGCATCCGATGGGCTCGCATTGCTATGACGGCCTCCAGGGGGTCGCCTCCTCTCACACAGGATCACACTGCAGACCTGCCTGGCGGGAGCCACCGAGAACCCCCAGGCCACCCGCCCGCTCTGCTCGTGCCGTGGGACAGAGGCTTCTGCAGCGGCCCGGCACCTGCCACCACCCCGAGCCCTGCACCCCGCCACCCCGAGCCCTGCACCCCGCCACCCCCAGCCCTGCACCCCGCCACCCCCAGCCCTGCGCTCCGCCACCCCCAGCTCTGCCCCCCACCACCCCCAGCTCTGCCCCCCGCCACCCCCAGCCCTGCACCCTGTCACCCAGCCCTGTACCCCGTCACCCAGCCCTGTGCCCCATCACCCACCTGGAGCACCAGGGGCGTTGAGCAGCGAGGCCCGGATGTTCTTCACCAGTAACTTGAGGTCGTGGGCCCGTGGAGGTTTGGGGGGGCAGGGGTCCTGGGGGGCGGGTGTGCTGTGCTGGAGATTCTGCAGGAAGAGGAGGCGCCGTGACCGTGGGAGGCGGAGGACAGAGGCGGCCGCGGGGCCTGAGCCGGGGTCTGGGCTGTGGGTGGCAGCTCCCCTCTTAGGGGAAGGTTGGTGCCGCCCACGGGAACCATTTCCCCGGGGGGCCTCCGGTCTCCCAACGGCAGCAATGCCTCAGCCCGGGAGGGCTCCCCAGAACCGTACTGAGGGTGGAGCCTGGAGCCGCCGTGGGGTCCCTGCCGGACCCAGGCCAGGTGCCTAACGGGCAGTGGACGCCCTCTCCAGGCTGCAGGTCACCGGCTGGCCCCGGCCTGGGCTGGGCAGTGGGCCTGTCCAGTGCTAACTGGTTTTCCCGGGAACCTCAATTCTGGCAGGACACTGCCCAAGACCCCAGTAAAAAGTCAAGTTTGGGCTCCTACAAGGCGGAGGGTCCAGCCCAGGTAGGTGGAATGTGCTGAGTGGCCCTCTTCCTTCCAAACCGCCCCCTCCCCTCGAGCTTCAGAACCCCGTGCCCTGAACTGGAGGCTTCCCCAGAGCGCAGCCATTACTGACCAGCAAGCACTGGCGCAATCGGGCTCTAACCGTGCGGGACGGAGGAACACGGGAAACGCACACAGGTGCCATGGGCAGCCGGCCCCGGTCCTCTGGGGCCTCGGAGCACCCGCACCGGGAGCACTCACACCGCAAGCAGCTCACCTGGGCTTCCCGCACGTCCACGGGCCTGGAGCTCAGCACCACGGACGGGGAGGCGGAGCTCACCAGGTGCTTCAGAATGTCCTTGAGGGTCTCACGGATGGCCTTCACCTCCCCGGCCCGGTCCTGCCGGGAGAGGGGGGAGTCACCAGATCATTTCCTAACCACGCGTGCGTGCAAGAGGACAGGCGAGCTCACCTGGCGTCGCCAGGACCCAGGAGGGAGCATCAGGAGCCGTGAGAGCTCTGGGGGAGAGGACCCTTTGTACTGAGCTCGGAAGCAATTCACCACTTTATTTATTTTGTTTATATCCTCACGTGAGGGTATTTTTTCCATTGATTTCCAGAGAGAGTGGAATGGAGGGAAGATGGGGGGAGAGAGAGAGACATCAACATGAGAGAGACACATCAATTGTTTGCCTCCCACACGCTCCCCTACCAGGGCTGCACTCAGCAAGCAAGGCACGTGTCCTTGACCAGGAATCCAACCCATGACCCTTCAGCTCACAGGTGAATGCTCAAACCCTTGAGCCAAAGAGGTAAAATGGTAAAAAAAAAAAAAAAAAAAAAAAAAAAAGCCATTGTGCACCATAGAAATGTTAATATTTCTGTGTATATCCCTGTCAGCCATTTTCCCCAAATGTACAGACATGTGGTTTCTCTTTCTTGCACAACATTGGTTATTTTTTTTAAAATATATATTTTATTGAGTTTTTTACAGAGAGGAAGGGAGAGGGATAGAGAGTTAGAAACATCAGTGAGAGAGAAACATCGACCAGCTGCCTCCTGCACACCTCCCACTGAGGATGTGCCCGCAACCGAGGTACATGCCCTTGACCGGAATCGAACCTGGGACCCCTCAGTCAGCAGACCAACACTCTATCCACTGAGCCAAACCAGTTAGGGCTGGATATTTTTTTTTTTTTTGGAATTAAACGGAAAGGCCTGAGAAGAATGAAGACGAGCTTTTAGAAGAACTACAAAGCTATCGCAATTAATACCCAACTGAAGTGTGTTCGTGCATTCTCGAGTGTTCACAGCACCGCCATCCCTAAGAGCCCCAAACTGGAAGCCACCCGAGTGTCCGCCCACAGTGAAAGGGACTCATACACTGCGGGGCAGCCACAGCGTGCATGCTACAGGACAGTGAGCACATACACCACAGGGAGCCACACACAACACGGGTGAACCTTACAGACATCGTGTCGAGTGACAGGAGCCACACACAGAAAAGCCCACGCCGCGAGATTCCGTGTAACATAAAAGTGACCGCTTCACCCGACGCATTTCAGTGGCATTTAGGGCCTTCCAAGTGTTCGGCTACCATCACCTCTAAGCAAACTCCTTACCCAGAGGCAGTCATGCCTCCCCCGCCCCCCAACAGGCCCCGCCCACCACTCTCTGCTTCCCCCTCTCCGGGCTTGCCTGTTCTGGACTCAGCGTAGAGATGTGACTGGGAGGAACGTGGAGTCCCACCACCGTGGCCTCGTGTGTCTGGCTTCTTTCCCTGAACATGACACACTCAGGGTCATGTGAGTTCCAGCAGGAATCACAACCTCACTCTCCTTTACCCCTGAATGACATGCCATTATATGGATGGACCACGCTTTCTTGTCTACTTTTATCTTTTTTTTCATATATGAATAGATTTTTATTGATTTCAGAGAGAAAGGGAGAGGCAGAGAGAGATAGGAACATTAAAGACGAGAGGGAATCATTGATCAGCTGCACGCCCCTCCTGGGGATCGAGCCCACATCTGGGGCATGTGCCCTCGACCAAAATCAAACCCAAAATCCTTCAGTCTGTAGGCCGTGCTCTATCCACTGAGCCACACCGGTGAGGGCTGTCTGCTTTTATCCTCTTCACCCCCACAATGTCTCCACGCCTTATAGAGGAGGAAACCAAGGGCAAAAGATGAGTTGGGGTACTCTAATGTCAGAGTCCATTACATCTTAGATCTTCAGAGCAGCTGACTCGGGGCCTTCCTTCTACACCTCCCCCCTGCCCACATGCCATCTCCTCCCCACAGGGACCTAGCAGGACCCAGCGGCAGGGGGCTGGCTGATGTACAGAATTGCTTCACTGGGGAAGTCATACTTCTCACAAATATGACCAGCACATGGAGGTCAGAGAAATGGCCAGGGATTGGGGGGGGCGGGGGGGAGAGTATAAAAAGCACATATCTGGATAAGAAAGGATGAATAAGTTCATTCTTATAAAAAGAAACTCAGAAAAGATAAAAATGTGTTACAGCATGCAGAAGAATGGTGGTAGAAGGGAAAGGAAAGGGAAACAGACTTCTGAGTATAAAGTTTCATGTAACTTTGACTTTAAAATCATGCTGATACTTTGCACATTAAAAAGTAAATCAACGAAGATGGGGACAAACCCTAATATCACACCCGAACAGACACAAGTGCAGTCAGTTCACTAGATATGAACTTGGTATGATGACCACACAGAGGGGGAAAAAAAAAAAAATCAAGTCATTGTTGAACGTGAACTTAGTACCCCTCAGTGGGATACACTCTGAGAAAAGGGCCAGCCAAGCACCCTGAGTGTTGGCAGGTTTGAGGTCAACAATGGTGCTGCTGGAAGCCAGTTCCAGCATGTCATAATTGCAAGAGTCTCATCAAAAGGTTGATGGAACTTGGGGACTCAACAAAGGCTGAGTCACATAAGTTATGCTGCTGGGAATGGCTAAAGGCATTTCCCCAAACCTGAAATGGATGCAAAAATTGATTGCTTGCTGTCAGACAGCTCAGGGCATCTTAATCTACATGGTATTGCCTCCTCCTAGCCAAATACCTGAACAGCTGTAGGCTATTTCCCAACTAGACAATGGATTCTGTACCTAACCCTATCCTTTGATGTGTATGTCTCCACCTTGCCTTAGGACAAATTGTGTTAATAAAAAGCAAGAGGTCCTGAGACAAGGAGAACTTAATTCCTTTAACTAAATCTTCTCTGACTCTCCCCAGTATGCCTTCCAAAATTATGTTTCGTCTCTGGACTCTTGATTAATTTTACGCACAGCCCCTCCTGCAGAACTCCTGAACCCTTCTAGATGCCAGATCAAGACCACCAGCGCTAAAAGCATGGTGCCAGGGGAGCAGGTTACAAAACAAAGGACATCATGTGGGAGGAAGGAGGCCCACATATGGAGAAGGAGAAAGAGACACGGAGCTGGCAACGAGGGAGATACTGCACATGGGCTCATTCTGTAACTAAACAGCCGGGCACAAATGACACTTTCGATGCATGCAAGCTGAATCACCATTCACACTTACTAGTATTTTTAAAAAAGCAACTGTCCATATCTAGTTTAAGGCATGGACAGTTGGATATTTATAGACCAACTATTAAATTCACGTTTCAGCTGTTGAACAAGAGTCAGAAAGAGGGTAAAATCATAAGGAATTCTTGTAAAAGCTGCTGCGAAGGAAGAACCTAATAACTTAAAACAGTGGTTGGCAAACTGTGGCTCTCAAGCCTCATACAGCTCTTTGACCCCTTGACTTTTTAGCAAAGGCCAGCTTAGGAGTACCCTAATTAAGTTAATAACAATGTACCTACCTATATAATTTAAGTTTTAAAAATTTGGCTCTCAAAAGCAATTGGCTCTCAATTGTTGTACTGTTGATATTTGCCTCCGTTGACTAATGAGTTTGCCAACCACTGACCTAAGCCTTTGGTGTAAATGATTCTGCATGATCATTCCAGCTACTGGACACGGTGACACCCACTGACTAGCATGCCCACTCCCACTCCTGGATTCACTTCTCCAAACAGCCAAGACCCCGGGAGCCGGGAGGAGGCTGCCTCCAGATTTGGGGTGCTGTCTTTGCAAAAACTGTGGGGAGGAAGCTGGCTGGGCTCAGCCCGAGCTGTAGGTAAAGTCGTTTCTATCATAGGAAGGAGAGCAAATCTGACCATCAGGTGGATAGAATGTTATTCCTCCAATAGTTTGCAACCTTAAGACGCACATGCAAAAACAAAATAAAACAAAAATAACAACAACAACATCAACAACAAAAAACCACACAAAAAATGTCTAAAAAAAAAGAAGCACATGCACACCTAAAAACTCCCCAGCCCTATGACACGCCATGGGGGCTCCCCAGCCCCATGGCACCCACGTGGGGGTGGCAGGCAGGCTTCCGGGTTCTTAACAGCTGCCAGGTGATTCCAGGGGCAGCCCGGAGCCCGGGGTGAGAGTGGGCATAAAAGAAATTTATAACTTTTATTGACAACACACACACACACGTTCCCAACACACCGATGGAGGCATCGTAGGCATGGATGGACTGACCTCCCCCGGTGCTCGGGGCTGGACGGTGATGGCCATCTCTGGCACGCTGAGGAAGGACCATCGGACCGGAATGTCCTCTCTCTCCTCTTTCATGCGGAGCTCCAGCTTTAAGAGGAAGAAAACAATGGTTATTGGAGAGCTCCTGTGTGCTAGCGTCTGTGTGTGTTCAAGCACTTAGCCTCCCGTGCCACCCTGCGCACTTACAGACGGAGAAGAGGGTCCCACACTCCCTGGGACCACCCCCCCCCTTCGTTACAGGGACCTTGCCCCACCCCCACCAGCACCCTCCTGTGCCTCCACCTGCCACTCAGCAAGAGACCTCGGGGCTGGTGGCTGAAGGCCCGAGGTCACTGGAACTCCGCGTTTTCCTGGCGGGAGCGTCACCGAGAGGTAAGGGGGTGTACGTGAGGCCAGAATGCCGGGCCAGCCCCACGCTCACCCGTCCCCTGAGGGCGGTGAACGGAGCTCGCCGGGTTCCGGTCACCTGCCTGAACCTCTAACTGGACCCTGGTCTCCCACAATGTCCCCTTCAGCCCTCCCCATCCGTGGCAGAAAAATGTCCCCCACCGATGTCCACGCTCCACGCGTGGCACCTGTGAAGAGGCGGCCTTCCACGGCAGAAGGGACTTTTGCGGATGCGATTCGGGCAAGAGCCTGCTCACATGGAGGTGCGTCTGGGGCAGTGGTCGGCAAACCCATTAGTCCGCAGAGCCAAACAGCAACAGGACAATGACTGATATTTCTTCTGAGAGCCAAAATTTTTAAACCTAAACTTCTTCTTCTTTTAAATATATATTTTATTGATTTTTTCAGAGAGGAAGGGAGAGGGATAGAGAGCTAGAAACATTGATGTAAGAGAGAAACATCGACCAGCTGCCTCCTGCACACCCACCACTGGGGATGTGCCTGCAGCCAAGGTACATGCCCTTGACTAAAATCAAACCCGGGACCCTTCAGTCCGCAGGCCGACGACGCTCTATCCACTGAGCCACACCGGTTTCAGCAAACCTAAACTTCTTCTAACGCCACTTTTTCAAAATAGACTCGCCCAGGCAGTGGTATTTTGTGGAAGAGCCAGACACAAGGGGCCAAAGAGCCGCATGTGGCTCGCGAGCCGCAGTGTGCCGACCATGGGTCTAGGTTCTCTGGGCGAGCACAGAGGAACCACAACAAGGGAAGAGGAGAGCAGAGTGGACCCCAGAGCTGTGACTTGAGGGTGGAGGGTGATGCCCAGCCCAGGGAGGAGGCTGGGACCTGCCCGGGGCTGCCAGCACAGGAGCTGGAATCTGCCAGAAGGAGCAGGAAACAGATTCTCCCCAGGAACTTCCAGAAAGGAAGGCAGCCGCCCAACCCTAGATTCCAGCCTGTGCTGGAGTCAGACCTAAGGTGACCAGACATCCTGCTTCTGGCGGGACAGTCCCGATTTTTAACCATTTGTCCCGCGTCCCGGACAAATTGTTAAAATTGGGACTGTCCCACCAAAAGCGGGACGTCTGGTCACCTTAGTCAGACCCCCTGGAATGGTAACAGAGCCCACTGTTTACACTAAGTTGGGAGTCGTTGGTTTCGGCAGCCGTAGCAAACTAATACGCCGGCCTTCATCTCTCAGCCGGAGACAAAAAGGTCAGCTCCTCTCCTCCTCTCCATCCTTCTCCCCACCAACTGCCAGCGGGAAGGAAGGAGGGCTTCAGCCTGTATTCTGAATGCTCAGGACTCTCGCCTCACGCGAGCAAAAGGGTCAGAGAAAGGGTGCCCTCCCCTGTAACAGAGCAAGTGCACGTTCATCTCACTGACATGGGTCCCCGCACGTTCATCTCACTGACATGGGTCCCCAGCAGGAGCAGCTGCGAGCCAGCCTGCTGGCCCCTCTAGGCGCCTTTATCTGAGGGATAAGGGAGAAGCGGAGGCCTGAGCATTAATAATGGACCGCCTCTAGCAGCTGCCTCCGCGTGTGGCTCATCCATGGGCTGCTTCGAAACCGTGCTGAGAGATCAGAGATACAATTGTGTCCCTTGCATCTGAGCCGCTCCAAGGACACCTGAAGCCCATCCTGGAAACCACATTTGCTCCACTCGTGTTTGGGGTCCTTGCTGGGCTCGGTCCTGAAATGTGTGTCAGAGGCCGCCTGAGCGTGGCCCACCCTTTGGAGTTCTTTTCCAGCATTCTGCCCAAAAACATGAAGGGGCAGGAGGAGGCATTCACATCCGACAGGTCCATGAAGCCAACACTTCACCTCCCAACTCGAAAAGGGGTGTTATTGTGTGTGTGGGGGAGGGGCTAGATTTTGGGGCAAAACCACTATTTCGATGCCCAGAAAATCTTGTTCTCCCTGCTGACGCAAAACCATGTCTTTGCGTGAAAAGTTTATGGAGCATCATCTTCCCTTGTGGTTGAGAATCCTGTATGACTTAGGTCCAGCTGCACCCTCCCCGCCACCAATGATCAATCCACCACCAGGACGGGAGAGGAAATGCAGATTGAATCAGCAGTGACCCCTAAAACAGACCCAGACATTTATAACTTTTATACACCGCTAACAGGAACGGCATTGAACGTCTGCTGAATGCCGGAGGCACAGCTATGTAACAGTTCAGCTATCCAGACGTGTCACTAAGTCTATCATAATTACATATGTCTCTCTCTATAACTGTTGTGTATAATTATGTATAAATCACAAAGAAGTTATATCTGTCTGTTATAATTATTATAATAAGGTCTATTACCTTAGAAATAATGGCGATACTCATCTATAATATATAAAAGCCTAAGCGACTGGCCCGTAGCTATGGTGCACATTGACTACTGGGGGCAGACACTCAGTGCAGGAGCGGGAACCACAGACATGGAAAGATGGAACAGACTGAGGAATCTCAGAGGGAAGGGAGAGAGGGGAAGATGGGGAGAGAATAACCAAGGATCTTACATGCACACCAGAGGCCTGGTGCACAGATTTGTGCACCGGTGGGGTCCCTCAGCCTGGCCTGTGGGGACTGGGCTGAAACCAGCTCGCTGACTTCCCCCGAGGGGGTCCTGGATTGCTAGAAGGTGCAGGCCAGGCCGAGGGACCCCATTGGTGCATGAATCTGCGCACTGGGCCTCTAGTTTAACAGAAAAAGGGGGTCTTTTGAAGCTGACTTTTTAAAAAAGAAGAGGAATGGCCAGTCCAGCCCCTAAGCTGTTTTCCAAGCTGCAGTACATGTCTGAGGCGCAGCGCTGGTCTGACCCAGACCCACCCTCCTCACTCACCCGCCATCTACCCGATCCACCTGTCGCCAGCACCCCTGACTGTGCAAGTCCTTGACCGATTCCATCCCTCCCATTTCTACAGATGGGAAACCTCTAAATTCATTACGTATATACCTGTATGTGTGTATATGTATACACAGTATGTGTGAGTATATACACACACATGCACAGCACAGGCAAGTATATATGTAAGTGTGCATATATCATTTACATCTCACACGTGCCTTTTATTTCCTACAGATACAAAATGGAGGGTGATTGCCAGGAAATTATTAAATGATGGACAACTGATAACAACATGGGTATTCACGGCACTGTGACTGCCCACGCTGATCCACGGGCTCATGAGGACTGTTCCCACGCCTCGCACCACCCACCCACCTCACCTGTAAGTGCAGCGGGGCGAGCCGCACACCGTACTGCTGGTGCCCGGCGTCCTCGGCCACGGCAGGCTCCGAGGTGACCAGGAACTGGATGGCCTTGCCCACCACACGACAAGACACCACCTGGAGGAGGGACAAGACAACTGTAATGTAACTTTATGTGAGAGAGAGAGAAAGAGAGAGAGAGAGAGAGAGAGAGAGAGAGAGAGAGAGAGAGAGAGACTCTGACCCTAACTGGTTTGGCTCAGTGGATAGAGTGTCGGCCTGTGGACTGAAGAGTCCCAGGTTTGATTCCGGTCAAGGGCATGTACTTTGGTTGCGGGCATATTCCCAGTAGGGAGTGTGCAAGAGGCAGCCGATCGATGATTCTCTCTCATCGGTGTTTCTAACTCTCTGTCCCTCTCTCTTCCTCTCAGTAAAAAATCAATAAAATATATTTTAAAAAATAAAAATAAAAAAGAGAGAGAGAAAGATCAACAAGGACAAGTATTCAGAGTTTCAAACTTGGGAAAATATCCAGATTCACATCTATTCTATTACATAATAGTCTGAACACTGGAAAAAAATAGTTCACATCCTTTCTTCCTGATGGATTTCTCAGGAGCTAAACTCTTTCTTGCCCAAATCTAACTCTGTTCTCTCCATACATAAGGATTTTTCCTTTAAATACCGCTCTGTGCTATTTCTCCACACCCGCTGGCTTTTAATTCCCCAGACAGCCTCACATCCATTCCAGTGAGAGCCGTTAGCCAGCGTCTCTCACTAAAAAACGAGCCTTCAGAAGAAAATAAGCTATAGATGCTACAAGCAAAACACTTAAAAAATATATCCAGAACACAAGAAAAATTGTTTTCTATGTAAACAAATTTAACCTGTCGTGGTTTCCAACACCGTGGGAATAATTCAAAGAACATAGGAAACTTTAAACAGTTATGAGGTTATACAGACTTAAAAATAGAATTATCCAGTGAGCTCGTTCAAGAAGACAAATAATTCCACCAGGAATTACCAGGCCATCCTGCTGACATAAATCACAAAGCATGTGAGAGGGATGACGGTGACAGAGGAATGCCCAGTTTCCGCCCCAGAATCCCCTGTGGAAGCAGATCCAGAATGAGGACGCCACGCAAGCCCAGTGGAAGGACTCCCAGGCCAGGTATGCCCACAGGGGGGGAGTGGGAGTGGGGAGGACAGAGGGAGGCTAGCAGGTGACCAGGGCGCCTGGCCACAGCCGGGTCATCTGGAGGCAGAGAGCGAGGCAGGACAGGATGGACTCCCGCCTTCCCAAGGGGACTGCGGACCCACACTGGACAGTGTCACTTGGGAAGGAAGAGAAAATATTTTAATTCTCGGGTGGATTTATTAGAAAATAGGAAGATTATCAAAACAGTTCCTTTCTTGGGGCCTAGTTCACAAAGGCCTCCGTGGCACAGATCTGGGGGGAAATCCTGCCTGTTCCCAATACCAGCAGCAAGTTGCCAGCCCTCTCTTCGTCTGCGCTTGCAAGATCGCTCTCAGAGGATGAATTCATGTGGATGAGTTAGTTGCAGTATCTTCAACATGTGATCGCATCTCCCGTGTTCACGGAGGTTGGAAGGAGAAATGTTTGTACAAGAAATATTGCCTTTTTTGCCAAAACCAATTTGGCTAAGTGGATAGAGCGTCGGCCTTCAGACTGAAGGGTCCCGGGTTCAATTCTGGTCAAGGGCACGTACTTTGGTTGCGGGCACATCCCCAATAGGGGTTGTGCAAGAGGCACCTGATCGATGATTCTCTCTCATTGATGTTTCTAACTCTCTATCCCTCTCTCTTCCTCTGTAAAAAATCAATAAAATATATATATATATATATTTTTTAAAAGAAATATCATCTTTTCATTTTAAAAATAAACGCTCTGTAAACAATCCTCGTTGGAGGGACATTTTTTTGAAAGTATATTTTATTGATTTTTTTTACAGAGAGGAAGGGAGAGAGATAGAGAGAGAGAAACATAGACGAGAGAGAAACATCCATCAGCTGCCTCCTGCACACCTCCTACTGGGGATGTGCCTACAACCAAGGTACATGCCCTTGTCCGGAATTGAACCTGGGACCCTTCAATCCACAGGCCGATGCTCTATCCACTGAGCCAAACCGTCCAGGGTGGAGGAACATATTTTGGTGCCTGAGTCATCACACATACAAACGAGATGACACAGAGATCATTCGCTGTCCCCTGCCTCAGCAGCCCAGGCCTTGCTCCTGAGAAACATAAAAAACCAGACAACTGACTGGCAGATGTCTGTTCTTTCTTCACGATCTTCTCTACCCAAGAAAACTGACCACTTTATTAGTGCCCAACCCAAGCAAGAGAGAGATGGTTTTCTTCGATCCGATTCTGCAAGGAGCTTCCCACTGCCCCACCCATTCCTCCATACAGAGACCGCTCAGGCGCTCAATGAAAACCAAATAAACACACACACACACAAACACGGAAACAGATGGGGTTAAAAGGCGCTCACGCTTCTGCATATAAGACTCCGAAGACCACAACCCCCACTGAAGACACAGCACGGCGGTGAGTGGTCACTGAATGTGAGACACCTCCGGGCCCGAATGTCTCTGCACAGAGACCCGCTGAGGCCTCCCCAGCCCGCTGGCTTCCGACTCCACAAAACACCATGTCCCACCGACCAGCGGTTTCCGGGCCTCCCCTCGGCGCTCAGCGGGAAACGCTAATTAAAACAACCAGCGGATCCTGCTCCCGCACGTCGGTGTGGCCACACAAAACGCCCCCGCTGTCCCCAGGACCGTCGGAGTGACACCGGTGGGGGCCCCTCCCTTTCCAGGCCAGCCTCTGCCCCGCCCCCGCCCCCCTCTGCCCGGCCACCCGAGAATAATAATGGCCCATTCGTCAAACGCACCGCCGCAGAGTGGAAAGGAGCTTTTAGAAAGGAGTAATCTTCTCGGGTGCATTAGGAGTTACCCACATGGGGATTGAATTAAATGCCCTCCACACAGGAGAACAGTGGCCAGGCCTCGCCCACCCCTGGGCAAATGCCCGCCCCAGGACCCCGGACAGCAGGGCCACCTGGGCAAGACCACACCTACGTGGGCAGAAGGTCCAGAATTGACAGAGAACAATACACGGACGGACAGACAGAGGCCCGGGTCCTTTTTCATTATTTATCTTTACTGTTGAAAGTATTGCAGATGACCCTTTGTTTTGTGTTTTTCCCCAATGACCCCCTCCACCCCGCCCTGCCCCTCCCAGGCCTTCACCACACCACTGTCTTTGTCTGCGGACTAGGCATTCATGCCTATACATTCCCCGGTTAAACCCCCTCCCAGCCCCCGCCTCACCCCTGAAATTCCTCAGTAGAGGCCCTGGTCTCGGCCCCAGAGTCTCCCCACCACACACACACGTCTGTGGGGAGCCCTCAGTGAGCTCCTCAGAGTCCGCGGCCAGGACGCGGAGCTGTGACGCAGCCTTGGTGCTTGGGGTTCCCCAGGAAGCAGCCTGAGAGCGATGCTGGACCGTGAAGGGTAAACGGAGACACCCCTCGGCACCGCTGGGACCCAAGGCCTCCCTGAGGACAGACGTGAACCAGGCCCAGAGCAGGATCCACAGGCCCAAAGGGCAGGCAGGAGCGCCACGAACCCACGGCTTCCTTCCTGAGGTGTTTTCTCCCTCAGCAGCCAAGCTCCTCCATCACACACACCGTCTCCGAGGCAGGCAGCAGAGGCTGAGCCGTGCGTCCCCGACAAACCCCCTCCCCCTGCAGGACGGGATTTCATGGAGGCTCAAGGGTGTAAGACTTGAGCTCAAGGAGCATGCTGATATCAAAACCCCAAGCCTGCAGCCCTCCCGGGGTGGCTCAGGTGAGTGGGCATCCTCCCAGGCACCGAAGGGTCGCTGGTTCAATAACCTGGGTGTGTTATGGGTTTGGTCCCTGGCGGGGGCCCCTGCAGGAGGCAGCCAATTGATGTTTCGCTCTTACATGGATGTTTCTCTCCATCAAACCCCTCCCTTCCTCTCTCTAAAAAAATCAAATTAAAAAAAAAACAACAATAACTGAGAAACAAACATCCAAACCAGCAGAGAATATGTATAAAAATGTCTGGGAGCCAAACACAGGATACACCTGGAAGCAAGATCTCAGCAGAACGAGAAGACGCTTCCTGGACCGGGGTTTGCACTTCTTTTGTGCCTTGGGGATCCGGGAGGGAACTTAGGAAGGTTGCACGGAGGTGGGACAAAGCAAGGCAGGGCGGATTCCCGGTAGTTCAGGCTGTGCTCTCTAGAGTCTAGAGCACATGTGTCAAACACAAGGCCCGCGGGCCAAATCCGTCCTGCCAGGCCTTGCAATGTGGCCCGCACCGCGCTGTCATCACTGCACTCCGCTGCGTTTCCATCACAATGACAGTTTATGACTGTTCAGTAAACCATTCGGCCCGCAATTTAGGCTGGATTTTAGATTTTGGCCCCTTCTCTGATTGAGTTCGACACCCCTAGTCTAGAGGGTGGTCATGTTCAGAAGCAGGGGCCTGGCAGGTGTGTTAACCTAGGCACACAGACACAATGGGCATGGCTGGCAGAAGGCCACGGTGAGCCTTTTCCTAAAGAAGCTCTGTGCCAGCGGTGTGACTGCCCACCGTGCCCTGCCCCGCGAGGAGTCTGCAGTTAGGTCATCTTGGGAGGTTCCTTTCTGTAGAATCTTTTTCTTTTTTTTTTCTCACAAGCACCTGGTCTGCCAAGTGAAGGTCAGGGCATCCCTGGTTCACCCCCGGGTTCAAGAGAGAAGGCAGCTGGCAGAGGGACCTTCAGGATGTGAAAGTGAGCATATGTCACCACGACCTGCAGGACAGAATCCAGCTGGAAGGCCTTAAATACGCACAGGCCTCTACCAATAGGTCCTGTCCCTCAGATACTCACATACCTACACCAATAGGTCCTGTCCCTTTAATACTCACCTACCTACACCAATAGGTCCTGTCTCTTATATACTCCAATAGGTCCTGTTCCTTTAATACTCACCTACCTATACCAATGGGTCCTGTTCCTTTAATACTCACAAACATACACCAATAAGTCTTGTCCCTTAGATACTCACATACCTACACCAATAGGTCCTGTCTCTTAA